TTCTATTTATCTAGCCATCCACCACTGCCTTCTGCGGGATTAGTAAACAATGATGCAGGTGCGAAGTGTGAAAATTCATGAGGAGATGCAGAAGTTGATGCAGTAATATTGGGAGCAGAGCATGAGTAAGGGTCTTCATTATTTTCTTGATCATTAGTATGTATAGAAAGATGTTCTTGTGTCTCAAGCTCTCGTTCTTCCGGATCTTCCTCTTCCTCTGGAGATTCAGTCCAGATTGGGGCAGTATTTAACTCATTGATATGAAACACCCGATTTGGCCTTAGTATTTCTGGTTCTTGACTAGGCTCACTGATATCCATAGCTGAATGCATTTCTTCTGCTTCATCATCAGAATGAATAGGATACAACGGTGGTGGTGATGGTGGTAAACATTGTAAAACTCCCTCACCATTATCATGAGGATTTGGCCCATCTGGTTCACCTTCACGTACTGGTGAGATATGTCCTTCTATACCATCATCATCATCATCATCATCATCGTCATCACTACCATATTTGGGATTTGATGAAGACAAAAGGCTGCTCCTGCAACACAAATATTGAGGATAGAATTTTGTTTTTCTCTTTCCTCATATAATTCATGAAGTATACGATATTTGTGTTTAAGAACATTTTCTCTGCATTCAGCTTCTTCAAGACGTTTACGTTGTACGTCCATATGTTCCAGAGCTTCTTCATACATGTCATCCGCGGCTTCCATCCAGATAGACATAGTTGCTTTTACTGGTTGTTCATGATAATCCACATTCTGGAGGGTGCAATAGTCTTCGCCCGGCTCTCGCATAGGATGATAAGAATAGCTGAGAGTGTTGCAACCTGTCTTGGTAAATATGATTGAGACGTAGAAAAGCCTCCCTGGACACATCATATAGTGCAGCTTGCACGGTATCCCGCCTATGACGTGTTCGGAAGTAATACATATCACGTTCACCTCGTGGAGGATTGATCTTTACGGTCATATCATATTCCCAACGTTCTCCCCGTTGATAAGCATGTGAATAGAATTCCGGCTTCTCATTTATCTTCAGTTTAGTCATCAAATTGATTAGTTGATCAGTGCACTCATTATCATGGATAGTAATTGCAGTTTCTATGAGTTCTTGCTCATGCTCTTCTGCCATTATCCTGAAATACACAAATGATATTATAATACATGCTCGTGGATTAAATCTACCCCCCTTAAAAGGTAAGCTTGAAATAAATTCAAACTTAGCTTAGTTAATAGTCCTTAAGGTTCATCCTATAGTCAAACATATGCTCTGATACCAGTCCTGTCGGAGCCCAAAACTAACAACTTGGATCCGACTGAGATTAATGTATCAATCCCTGGATCAGTAAAAATTGATACATACAATATAACTGGTTCTTCATTGCATACGTTAAAGTCTTACAATACTAAGGGTTTTACAATAATAGGTACTCACCTAAGCTAATTAATATACAGCGGAAGTTTCTATACATTCTAACTAGTGAGGTATAACCTTTAGGGATTTTCTAAATTATCAGGGTCTTCGTAGTAATAGTTATAAGGGTCCTCCTCTTGACCCAGATCTGAAAAAGGGGTTATAAGAGCAAGGATGAGTATTCACAATACTCAGCAAATTATCATGGAAATATGTTATGCATTGACATATAATAGGGTTCTTTGCAAAAAGCGGTATTGGACAATCTGGAAAAGTTATAGCAGAATTTATAAAACATATAAACTTTAGATTTCTAACCAAGGTACCATATGAGTCCCGGTACTCAACTCCATGAGTACGGCTATTCGAATAGTTTCAAAGATATTCTACTGCAGCAGATGTACGCTTTACCCGCAGTCCATGACTTGCTGATAATCATCGGCTTTAGTCATGGCTCAGTATTAAGTCAATAACAATTATGGCACTTATTCCATGAACTTATATCCTCATATGCTCTGAACGTAATGTTAACAGCAGCAAGAGGAGTTCTGGCGTTCCCGAGGTATTTAAGGGGAACTGATCGTATGACACCACATCATCTCGATCAGGGTTTAGAAATATACCATATAGTTTATACCCGAGTATCACAAACCATTTACCTGTACATGGTAATGGTTAAAGTTGCCCTTCGCGGCTATAGTTGCCTCCTGCGCGAGGACTTAAAAATAAGAACCACTATACAGAGGTGCCATATTGCTAATTAACATAATAACTAGGTCTGTCCCCATTCTAGAAACTGCGGTCGTACCCATTCGTTCGACATAAGTACCTGGTAAAACTTATATCGATTGAGACAATACTAGCCACCCGGAAATCATCCAAATCTTACGTATTGTCCCAATCTAAGTATAGGGTATTTTAACCAGATTGTAAGCAAAATAAGCAATACTAAATTATTTGGGTTTCTATGATTAATTTATGCATAGAAAATAGAATATTGAATAGAAGGCTATAAATAAATAAATAATTTGTAAAATATAGGCTTAAATGATCAACAGGTATATGGTAACTTGCCTTGCTCGATGTCCTGAGATTGATTGATATTATCTAGAGTGTCAGAGGAATCCTCAAGACCTAGGGTTAGACATATAAAATTCAAATTCAAAAAGGAGTTTAAATAAAATGCAAAAATAGCAAAAAGGGGCCCAATAGATAGAGGATGATTTTAGAAGAATATTGGTCCAAGTTTTACTGAAATTGGATCTATATTTTAAAAGATATGGGCTTCTAAAGTTTGAAAATCGAATAAAAGTGAAATGGTACTGTGTGTGGGTCCCATCTATCAGTCTCTCTCTCTTCTCTTCTTCTACCTCCAGCCGTTCCCCATTTCAAGCCGGCGGCGCTAGGGTTGGCGACTGCGGTGGCGCTAGAGGGAGAAAGTGGTTGTGGCCGAGGAGGGGAGGGAGCTAGGGATCTCCGGCGGCGGCGAGCGGTGGCAGAGGAGTTAATTTGATGCGTGGACGGCCTAGCGGCTAGGGCGGCGGTGGCACGGTTAGGTTGTGATGGTGACCGGAGTGATGAGAGTTAGACATGGTTAGGGGAGGGGTTCTAGAGCATCTACGGGGTATCTAGAGGGATTTCGGCAGCTTGCCAACCTTTGGCAAGGTGCGGAACATAGTTGCCGACGAGCGCCTACATAGGCGGCGGCCGTGCTCACGTCGGCAGCTCAGAGGGTGACATGATAGTGCAAAGGGATTGCTCAAATGGAATCTAGGTAGTATGTAAATGGTTGAAATGGAAGAACTCACCGAGATCGGTTGAAACGACGGATTGCGGCCGGAAAAACTTCGCGGCGGCGAAGAACAGAGCAGCGCAGGGGCGGCAGTGCTCGGCTTGGTGCGGCGAGGTAAAACTCGACGTAGGGCTTTGGTTAGGGCTTAGTATACTAGAACATGGTATGATATAGGTGTTCTAAGTGTTATTTAGGGCGGAGGATGGATGGAGAGGGGTGGAGTCGATCACGCACAAAGTGTTCGACCGACGGGCGAGGGTGGTTGATGAGATGGATTGGTGAAGCAGAGCTTCGGGATTATGGGGCTATGGTTGTTGATGATCGATGATGGACAGGGAAGGGATTGGGGTCCTATTTATAGGGCTAGGAGGAGCGGATGAGCTCGGGCACCGTTATCGCCATGGATGAGCTCGGGATTTGGATGAGGCAAAGGTGGCAGAGGCTGAGAGAGGGCGGGAAAGATCGATTTGAGTGGCGGGAGGCCACGTTTGAATACTTACCGGCGAAGGATTGGCTTGACCGCGTGTTGATTCGGCTGGCGACGTGTTGGCGCCAATCCGAGCGCGACGCGCGGCGGCGGCGAGGGTGAAAACGGCCGGCTCAGGGGTGAATGGTTTGAATTGTGAGAGGGGATACCACCGTCTATCTCCAATCCAACCGTGCGGCAAGAATTGGCGCGATTCACCCCGGGTAGAAGCGAAATCGCACTCGGTGGCGGCTTGGACGGGTGCGCACGGCGTCAAGCGGTGATTTCGTGCGGCGGTCGTCGTCCCGGCTTTGTCATCGTCGAGATTGGTGCGGCGGCGGTGGGCTGAGGGCGTCGGACGGGCGACGGTGCGCCAAGGCGGTCGGGCACGCGCGATCGATCCCGAGATCAACGCGCGGCGGCTCAGCGCGCGGCAAGGTCGGCTGCCAGAGAGCGCGCGTGAAGGGGAGGAGAAGGCCAACTAAACCACGGTTTTTGAGTGGGTTGTGATCCCCTAGGACCAAACCTAGACTTTGCACAAGATTGGGTTGAAGGTGGGCTGCTCTAGTTGGGCTGGGCATTTTGTCGAGCACCTTGAGTGTAATGAACAGTAAAAATCAGAATTTTTGAATATTTCCCTAGAAAAGATTTGAATTCAAACTAAGAGTTTGGAAAGGTTTCACTAGGGTTTAGAGTATAGTAAATCTCCACTAATATTGGGATAAGCTAAGGAAATAATCTATGGTTTGAATTTGAGAGAAATTGCTCAAATTCACTAGGGTTTAGAATAAAGGGAATAAGTTAGAGTAAATTGGTTGGGCTCTAATACTTGAACCAATTTTAAATAAAAAATCAAATAGATTTTTGAACCAAACAAATTTAATCAAAAGCCAGCATGATGCAGTTAATTTTAGTTTAAAATTTGAGGATGTTACATGATGCAAAAACATCTCTCATTGTTTGGGATGAATCTCATGTTAATCATAAGTATTGCTTTGAAGCATTAGACCGCACACTCAGGACATGTTATCTGCTACCAGCCTGCATTCGACATACAAACAGTTTAGCGGTTTTGGGTGGAGATTTTGCCCAAACACTTCCATCCAATCATCCAAAATGTAACAAAGAAAAAAAATGAAATCATGCCTTGTTTTAATTCATATTGATGGAGTACTTCATTTAACCGAAAATATGAGGCGACCAACGTGAAACCCACCACGCACGCGGCCCGCACCCCCATCCCAACCGACCGACCGACCGACCGGCTCGCGGTCGCAGGCGGCCACCGCACCACCCCACACCACCCACCGACCCATCTGATCAAGATACCGATCGATTCCTCCACCCCAATTCCCAATTCGATACCACCCGCCAGGCCGCCACGCCCTCCCCTCCTCCTCCTCGCCATGGCGGATTGCCGCAGCCTCATCGAGTTCCTCCGCGCCTTCGAGCACCGCCACCGCCACCACGCCGCCGCCGCCTCCACGGACTCCGCCGCCTGCGGCACCGCGCCCGCCCGCCCCCGCCGCGGGTCGTCGCCGCGGAGGGGGAGGCGGAGGCTGTTCACGTCCCTCTGCGACCACTCCGCGATGGCGGCGGTCGACGCGGTGGCGCTGCTGGCCGTCGTCTCCGCGCTCGCGTTCCTCGTCACGCCCTACGTCAGGATGGTGGCGGCCGAGGTCGGGGGCCTGGTGTCCGACCTCGACGCGGCGGGGGTGGCGTCGTCGTACTACGCGCCGTTCGCCGCGGCGGGCGCCGGGGCGGCGATCGCGGCCGTGGCGGGTGTGGTGGCGTGGGACGCCGTGGGGCACCGGGCGCGGAGGTGCGGGAAGCCCCGGTGCCGCGGGCTGCGCAAGGCGGTGGAGTTCGACATCCAGCTCGAGACGGAGGAGTGCGTCCGCGGCCAGCAGCAGCGCCTGCTCCCGCTCCCCGGGGGACGCGCCGCGCTTCTCGCGGCCGCCGGGGCGCGCCCCGTCCAGCTCGGCGACGCGCACCGCGAGCTCGAGGCGGAGCTCAGGAAGATGGCGCCGCCCAACGGCCGCACCGTGCTCATCTTCCGCTCGCCGTGCGGGTGCCCCAAGGGGAGGATGGAGGTCTGGGGCGCCAAGAAGGTGCGCCGGATCAAGAAGTAGGCAGCCGCTTACTCCCATGGCCATGAACTGTTTGGCTATTGCTGTTACTGCTTCATCATAAGAACTTGCTGTTACATACATAGCAATACTATCACAGTGCTCTGCTCTTGTAGCTAGTATAATTGAGCATAAGGAGAGAAATAAAAGTGGTAGATACATGTCTTATGAACTTATTATGATCGGTCGCCAAATCAAAAGTAGCCTGCTCCTTGGTTGGCAGCTGTTAATTGGATTATTATGCAATAAGTGGCCATTTCCTCTTGGGTATATAAATAAGCGTGGTGGATAGACTTCTATCTGATAACTCGTATATACCTTGTTGATGACCAGACCTGTCAATTTATACTCTGGCTGTTATTTGTGCTATGGAGTACTATGTAACATGGATGGTTTTCTGGAGGAAGCAATCCCATTGCTGTTGCACTTACATTTTGAAAAATGTTTGCTAACAGTATTTGCAATAGTCCACCAATATATGAGTTATTCCCTTTTGTCCTTTTTTCATTCTTTTTTGTTTCAAGCAGCACTAAGCTCTAAACCTGATATGTTGGTGCTGACCACTAAACCTGAAATGTCAGCTTCATGGTGGCATGAATAACTTCTACGTTATGTTATTAAATTGAGGTGATGGTGTTATTTAGACGGTAAGGTTTCTGGTGTTTTCCCCCCCTTACTGCTTAGGTTCTGGTGAGATTTGATAATTTTCCACTCTTTAGATTTCTGTTATGATGATTTGCCATCTTGGCGCACACATCATTGACTCAGAGGACCCCACATGTAATTGCCATGGGGTGGCAAGCTTCAATCTGAAGAGTGGCACATCATCAAATCTGCCTCTTTTATGTGAATGGGTATTTCTCAGTTTGTTAATTGTACTTTTCTATGCTTATCTTGTTGCATTTCTGTTCTCTAATATATCCGCGTGCTTTCCGTTGTATTCATATTGAGAGTGCCATAATTAATATGCTGTCTTCCGTTAGTTATCCTGTGGTACAACTCAACATTTGCAATAGCTTGTTCATACATCATTGAATTATTTATAACCTATGGTACAACTCTAGATAGCTACAATCTTTCCCGGCCTACATAATGTATTTACAGAATTAAAGTAGTTATAACTTTGGAAGAAATTATTTGTAAGCTCATTTCTTCTCCTTGATTGTATTACATATTGTCAGCTAATCAACTCCAGCTGAAGCCGTTCAAGTCAAAATGTCTATAACCTTGATCGTTATCATCTATATTGTGAGTATTTAGATCAAGATTCTTCCCTGAACTTTGTTGATCAAAATCTAGTAGCTTGCTTTCTCTTTGATAGTCAACTGTTTGTCTTTTGCAGCTTGGTTCATCAAGATATAGCTTCTCTACATTTATTTCTTTGCTTCCTGATGTTGAACTGGTTGTGCTGCCTCCGCCATTCTTTTGAGGCGTGATATACTCATGTAGAACCTCTGTATCACTGTCACTTCCCTCTGATTTGTGATACTGTTTACCGCTATACAGATGACCCATTCTACGCTCACTTAAGCTTCTGTTAAGGGAATATTGAGATTCTTGATCTTGGGACTGTTTTCGGCAAAATAATGTACTATCATCATATGCTTTGAGTACCCCGTGGTTTTGTAGCCTATGCTCCTTGAATCCTTCAGCTGCAGTCAAACAGTTATTGGCTGAACTTTCAACAAACTGGATTTGCCTTGGCTCTAGTCTGTGTATACTTGAACTTTCTCTTATTTCTGTAACTGCGTTGCTGAGACATTCATTTGAAACTTGTGAGACCAGTTCTGATATTTTTATTTTTGCATCTTCCAGGCTTGCAGGGCCCAAGTTCTGCTTCCCAAGGGTCTCTTGAGCTTGCTCAAGAACTGCCTGCAGATACTTCCCTTGGGCTTCTATCCGCAGCTGTAGATGCCGTTGTACCTGATACCAAATTAGCTTCAGGTTAGAACCATTGAGCCAATTCATATTGTTGATACTATATGCATTATATTAATCTTAGCTGTTTTCTAAAAATAGTTTGCTGCCAAACTGGAGGAGAGTATCCAAGTTCTCTAATCTTTACATAATACTGTCTATTCTATTGTACAATGATTTGAGAATATAGTTAGAAAATAGTGTTATGAAAGGAATTTTTGGGGTAGATCTACCCGATCAATTACATATGTCCAATCTTATTCATAAAGATACTGGTACCGAATTCTAAAGGTTTGGCTGGATGTATTCTGAACATCGCTTAACTTTTACTAGAGGGAGAAAGTTATCTTGGGGGTCATTCCTGGTGGGAATCACTGTTGTGAAGGATACAAAAAAGATGATACAGCATTCATAGCAGTTTTCTTATGCTCTTAGTTGGTATGTGGGCATGCTGACTGGATGCTCGAATTTTTTTTTATCTTATGTCATGTCCATCTACTCTATGGGCCTATCGTGGGTTAAGATCTTATTATGCAAACAGGGTCAGTACCTCACCTCAAGTTGTTCATTTAGCTGCCTCTGCACCTCAATTTGCATCTGTAGTGCTTCACCGATTTGAATAGTTCTTGCACCCAATAAAAGGGACTATTACTTCACTATTCAGATGGATTACAATTATAAAGTACATGGGAAATTTCTTACTTCTCTGCCTGTGGAATGGCGCTTGCACTGGCCATCGCTAATGCACTTGTTCCAGGAATCCTATCAGCAACACCTGTACATCCAAGGGCTGCAAATTGTCATCATCCATGAGTTGCTATGTGGCTATTGTAGTGGTAACAATGGAAATTAAACTTGTTTTTACCATTCTTTGTTGTCCCAACATTAGCTTGACCTTGGAGATTCTTACTGAGCCTGTATTTCTGAAACATTCAAGAAATTATGAATTGCACTGAAATTTTTTAGTACTATTTTAAATGGGAGATTCCTGGTTGTCAGGTACCTGGAGATGGCTTTTCAGATGGTATAAGGTGAGTCCTGGAATGCCCATGAGCCTCATGACTGTTTTTGGAGTAGCTTCTGAGTGATTAAAATGAATGTTAGAACTCAGCTATTCTAGTGCATTGAGAAGATAAGAATCTTATACTTACTCTCTGCTCCACCTAATTGATTAACTGCATCTACAAATCGCTGATGCAACTCAGGTGTCCATTTCAACCTAGGTTTAGCGTCAGTTGAGAGAACCAGCCCAGAATCTCCTTGTGTATTTCCTCCATGCAGAAACAGATGCCGCTCCATTGGAAAGGATGTCCTAGTAGTGAAGAGGTCACTCCGACCCTGATGTTGGTGATACATCTGCTGCAAAATTAATACACACTTTTAGAAGAATGGAAACATAAAGAGGCAAGCATTTACACTATCCTTTCTTACTTGTGTTATCCAGTCTGTTTCTTCTCTTTGCTATCACACGTCGAAACTGTTATGAGTGCTTCTCTTTTGGCAGTGCCAAAGCCAGCACTCTTCTCCAAGCCTAGGTCTATTGATACTCTTTTGGTCTTCTCAGGTTGATAAGCAGTTTGTTGTGAGGGGTTCCTTATATGGGGCAACATAGAATCTAGCATCTTGGAAACAATGATCGAATATTTTTTATGCCAACTAACATAAGGTGCTGTCCTTATAGTTACCTCTGAAATTAACCACCCCCCCCCCCAAAACAAAAAAAAAGTCTTTAAAAATGCACTAACCTTTTCTCTTCCTCTTCATGCTTTTTATGAATAAACCATTTTTCTCTTCCTCTTCATGCTTTTTATGAATAAATCACTGAAAGTATGTATATACTATAGTGATAAGGACTCACAATTGGAACAAATTATTGTTTTGAATGTTGCTTTCTGGCATATCATTCTGCTATCTGATCTATTTGGAGTGTGAAAGATAATCACTAGATGAAATTATTTGAGTACTCTATGATCATAGCTGATGGATTGTTATTTAGTTAGTATTTTGAAACTGTTGCATTTTGTTTTGTTTTACCTGTTTAATGTTTAGTTGTTTATAGCTGGGTGGTACTTGGTATGTGTATATTTTGTTTAAATGAAAAAAAGGACACTTAATGTTATGGTAGTAGATTCCTTGTGGGTAAGGACATCCTACATAAACATAAATTCTGTCAATTTTATTCTGTCCTTTACTACTTTAAAGCATATGGAATATGAACAAGCATAAGTTCCATCAGCGTCCTTTCCTAAGATTGGTACATATTCACATTTCAGTCCAGAGAACTGTGGACCAAGAGGCTTATGCTTTTTATGTGAGATAAGCTCCTTTTGAACCAGATCTCTTTGATTGTAATCATCACCAGTCAAAGAAACAGTACTTAGGTACTATGTTTCTGTATATGTTTCACAACTATCATCATTTCAGTACTTTTGCCAGTAGAGGCAGATAGTTTGTTCCATCGTGCTTCTTATCTAAGTTCGACATGAAAAGCTAGATGTGATCTGTTTGGAAATGTATGCAGGTCTAGCCCCTCCCTTTCCCCCTTCGTTTGTTTCTAAAACAGTAGCACAATACTAATTATAGCGCTTCTTGCTTGGCTCTTAAGGATGCCTGTACTGTAGATACTCTGATCTTAGTTTTGTTGCTCTCCTGTAACCAAGTCTGTCAGAGTTCTTTACATGTTATCATTTTGCCTTATACCTTATATGCAATTTATTAAGGGTGTTCACCTACTGTACTTTTGCACCATTGCTCTTTTCTGTGATTCGGTTGATTGAAGAGGTGCCTCATTAGAAGTGTGCCAATGGCATATGTCGACACCTGGGACCACTAGTAAGAGCTTTCACCTGTCACAATTTAATGGTGTTCTTTAATCAATGAAATGAACTATCAGGAATATATCTCTCTTTTTGTTTCACTGTCACTGGTGATGTTGCACTTAACTCCCATTAAGAGCTTTCTGTGATGGCCACTGGTATTGCTTACCATTACATGCTACTGTGCTATGTTTCTTTTTCCGGAAGTAAGAACCTCATGAGATTTAGGGTAGATGGGCGATATGAGATTATTTTATCTTTGTTATATGATGTTTATGACACTCATTTTACCAGTCATAAAGCTGTTGCATCTACTGCTGTGTTAGTGCTGATAAGTGATGGGTATGGAGCATGATACGACAGGTTATATTTCTCTTTCTACTTACCATAGTTTATTTTTCTGACGTATCTACCTAACAGATATTACATGTTGTTGCTGTTTGTAGTTGTACTGGAGGGTGGGCTGTCGTGCTTTCGACATATAAAGAAGTTATCAATAGAGAATCTAAAGCATTATCCCATGCTGATCATCTTTTGCAAAGTGGCATCACTTGTGGGAGCGCAGGCAGTTGTAAAGACTGATCCTGGTAGCAGTTCTAGAATTGTAAGTTGCATATGACCTGGAACTTTCTGATCTATCTTTCAACCTCTTCAATTGAGTTGCCTCTGCATCTGCAAGCATGCCTTGCCTGTTCAACAGTAGGATTGCAGTGAGTTGTTTGTATGAGCTAACAATGCAGAGTCAACACCCCAGGGTATAGGTGTCTCTTAATTGTTATTATGATCAGGTCAATAGAAAAAAAGGGATAAGAGTTTCTTGTTGTTCTTTTTTTTTTGTTTGTTTATGTAAGATGGATGTTTTTTTTTCTTCTATTAATTTTTTGTGGTAAATAAGGAAACAGTTTTATTTTTAGAATCTTTCAATTGTCAATAATATTGGACCCTTTTAATTTTCTGACCCTTTTTGCTGAGAAGAGTTCCTTTTCCAATCTTCTTGATCATCCTTTGTAAATTGGTCATTGGTACCATACAAAGCAAAGTACAAATCCGGTTGGAACCAAGCCATCCCAGTTGCATGGGTTACTTATCTTGTAAATGTAGGTTCTTTGTCCAGGCACCATGAGCTTAGTGAATGAAGGGATTCTTGTGCTCAAGCAATCTCCTCAGCATCAATTCTTTCTTGTTGTCCTTGGCATCTGTGTTCATCTTCAAGTTGCCCTGCAGCCCTGCACAATACAATTTTCTTTCTCATCAATGCTCTTAGATGCGCAGTTCTCGTCTTTTTTCTGATGCGCCTTGCCGGCATCCTAATCTCAATATTCCTTGCGCAGCACAGAAGCTTTCAGTAGCTTTCACAGAATATATGCTGCCTGAGCGTGCAAATAAACTATCGTAGCGACGACTATCTTGCGCTTAGTGATAGTTACTGTTCAGGGATGCTTTCTTGATCAACTAGTCTGGTCTAGTGGTTATGTGATGCTCTTGTAGTTCATGGGCACTGGGGGTTTGGGGAAGCACCTGAAGGATTCATTCCTGATATGGTATCTAATGCCAAATTTGCACTCTATATGTTTTACCTTGTTTATGACTGCGGGTGTAGTAATGTTCTCTGATGCCATGTGGTAGTAGCTAGATTTGTTTGAACGTAATCTAAGGTTATATAAGATTACACTGAGGCAATGAGGGGGGCATCTTTGATATTTCTTCCTTGGGAGTATCGTTGGAGCATATGGAATTTCTACTCCTGGTCAGTGCTTTTGGGCTTCCTCACTTTTTCATATTCCAATGATCAGATTAGCATTAGTCGTTGTCATGAGAAATATTCCTCTTAGAATGTGAGCAGTTGTGCCACATTTCGCTTCCTGGTTTATCGCAGGATTGGAGGTGCACTCTCTCCATGTTACCAACCACCTGCTGAAAACTTCGTTTGTGCTATTTCGCCACATTGCAAATGTGCAAATCACTTGGTACGGGTGGCAGAAATTTCATCAGTCAACAGTCGTAATTAGATCGAACCTTGTGTCATATGCTTAGTCCTTCTGCCTCATTTGTTTCACTGTACTTGTATTAACAGCATAGCTTGTGGCCTATGGACAACTTTTTGCAGCCGTTTTCATCAATTGAACTGAAGAATGGACTCAAGCCATCCAGGATTCCAGTCCCAGATGATGCTGGTGGAGCAAAGTCAAGAGGTCTCAGTAAGGAATGCTTTCTTTGCCTTCCCATTCCATCTCTGATCAAGTGACCATTTGATATGATCCACTGAGAAAACCACCACATTCTTGTAAACTAAACAGTATCACACTTATGCAACTCAAATCTTCTTCGCAGGATGATTTTTTTGCGCTGGTGAACCGGTTGCCGGAGAGGGGCAGCCGAATCTTTTGCCGCCGACCTGACTGACGGTGCAAATCCCCGGTGCGGGATACGGTGGAAGGCGATCGGCCGAACCCGGTCTGCTCCACGGCTCAATTCATTCATTGTCAATGCGCGCATCTACTGAAGAAGCTGATAAGCTGTCTGGCTGGGCTAACCGAAAGTCGTGTGCAAATGCAATGGCATCGTCAGCTCGTCGCGGTCGTGGATGGCGAGTTGGCGACGCGTTGGTGCGTGGCCGTGCGTCTGTCTTTTGCTTCGCACGATCATCAGTTTTGCAGTTGCCTTCATCGTGGCTTTATTTGACCATGAGCTCCGGCCATCTGAATCCCCAGGAGCCCATTGATACGTGCACCTAATTAAGAGCCACATTTGCATGAAGCATTGGAGGGGGCAAATCCTGAAGCTTTCGTTTTTGCAGTGGTATAAAGCAGCTAAGGGCCTGTTTGGTAGAGTTCCAACTTCTAAATTTAACTTCAGGAGTTGGGTCTGGAGTAGAGTTGTGGAGCTGCCTAAACCCAGCTCCACTTCTCTAGTTCATTTTGTGAGAGAGTTTCATCCAGCTCCACTCTCATTTTAGGTGGAGCTGAAACTGTTTGGCTGGGTTCTAGCTCCAGGAGATGTGGAGCTGGAGCTGAGGCTCTATCTCTTGTTTTTTTTCTTCTTTTGGAAAGCTAAATTCCCTATTGTAAAAATGTGAGTTTTCTAACTGCCAACAATTATAGTTAACTACAGTAACATATTTCAAAATTGAATGTTCTTCTAACATATTGACGGGTAAGCCTTCTTGTGAAAACATATATAGGCCTTGTTTAGTTACAAACTTTTTCTTCAAACTTCTAACTTTTCTATCACATTAAAACTTTCCTACATATATAAACTTCCAACTTTTTCATCACATCGTTCCAATTTCAATTAAACTTTCAATTTTGGCGTGAACTAAACACACCCATATATGTTTGAGCTTTCTGACTATCGGCAGAGCCCCTCAGTACCGCTGTTACAATTAGTTCAGTTTTCACAACTTCCCTATTGGTTTTTCCGGTGCATATCTTTCTTCGGAGAAAACATTCCTTCCCAAGTTTCAACTTCTGTATGGGTTGGTTTTAAATCTTACCGTAGATTATTTGAACTGAGATTTCTCGCTTTCTACTCCACGTGGATCAAATTTCAACACAAAAACTCGCTCATCGTAATACATACTCAGTTTTTGTGCTGAAAACTGAGTAACTTTGATCCACGTGGAAAACTGAACTCAGTTATAACTCATCGTAGCTTTGATGTATTACGATGAGTTATAACCAAAAGTATAACTTTCAGCTCAAACTTATTTGGACTAAAAATGTAGACTAGGTTTCTTTGGGCCAACAGTGACTACGCTTTCAGGAGTGGTAATCCTCCTGAGGGCACTATTGAGGTACCCCTCCTCTCTCAGCAAGGAGTTCTGGGTGAAAACCTTGTCCAGTCTTTGGATGGACGACGACGGCGTCATTCGGCGTCGCGACCTTCGTGAGGGCGTCGTTTTTTAGAGTCTCCGCTCCGTGGTAGTGTTGTTGGCTCGGTGGCGATCGGTCTCGCATAGCGACGACCGGTTCGGTGCTCGACTTCCCTCTCTGTGGCGTGTGTTTGGGCGGTTGGCACTTGGTTCGGGACGTGTGCTCTGGTGCACATCCTTCCTCGACAGCCAGTTATCGATGTAAAACTTTTCTTGTAACATTTTCTCTTTATCTTAATAATATTGGATGACCTCCTTCGGTCATTCCGAAAAAAAAAAAGTTCAGTTCGGATCCCATAACTTTCAACCAAAAGATGAATAGAGTTCTCTGTACATGAAAACCCGAAAACTCTCAATCATGATGATCAAAGACTTCTCTGTACCAAACGAGCTTAAAGAAAGGTAGGAGCTCTTGCCAATCATCCAAGAATCAAAATAATCTACATTATCTTCTCTAAATTAATACCCATACCAATACCAATTAATTTATATCAAACTATGCCTGAGCACCTCGTACATTCGTAACGAATAATAACAGGATGAATAATGCAAAGCCAGCATTGATCCCAGAGACACTAAACTCGGTTCTTTTGATCACAACCACGGACCATTGCCAAGTCCAGAGTTCAATTAAGGATTGCTGCATGGTAAAAGTTGAACCGGATTTAGATGCGATCTCCTAAGATGTCGTATCATTTATATATAAACCGCCTAATAAACCAGGGGCTAGATGATAGATTATTAATAAACTTGCGGCTGTTGTTACAAGTAAGCAGACAAACAGAACATCTCATGAAGCAGAAAAACAAATTATTCCAGTCCACAAAGGTTCATCTCAACATCTCAGGAAATTTAATCACTTTCGAAGAAAGGATAAGTAGTGTTAGCCATGGCAGATTATCACAATTTACATAATCTTAGCATGAAGTAGCTCCATATATAGAAGAAATTCCATCAAAACAACGTTGTAAAACTACCAGAGCTGTAGACTTTTTACCCACATGTTTAAATTTCGGCAACACTTCAACTGCTTCAAAAACTCAGTCTTAGCTGCACTTCCCTACTCATGAATTTTTACAAGAATCTGTAACGCCTTGTTTGTAATAAATAATGAAGTTGATTTATGGCTGATGGTTGGCAATTAGCTAACACCATCACTTCCTGAATATGCCAATCATGACACATGAGTGGTGTGCCATTCTCAGAGCCAAGACGAAATCAATGTCCCAACATGCAGAACCGACTTTAGCTGCAGTAAGCTGAAGCAAAGCAAATGAGCACAGATGATATGACAATGCCTGGCAAGCTTTCTATGCTGTGATCCATCCAAGGGAGATGATAGGTATGGAAAACAACAGTTCTACCAATCTGGGTCACTTGTACTATCATTATTCACAAATCGCAACAGCAGCAGAAATCAACTGTGCCCTGCATTTGGGTTGGTTCCAGAAGTGTGCGGTGATTGTTGATCCGTAGAAACACCTCCAGCATTCTGTGCCTCACGAGTTGAGAATAGCTCATTCAACCAAGGAACAATAGCCCAGGGTCTGTTACTGCTCTCGCTGACGTTTCCAGGGCCATCAGCTCTGACTTCCTCATGGCTGTCCTCCACTCTACCAATGTTGCTAGGCTCGTTCAAGTCTTTTGTCTCCTCAGAAGGCAGCTCAAACCGGCAAACCGGGCAGGAACTATGTAATTCAAGCCATGGCAGGATACAAGAAGAATGAAACTTATGTTCACATGGCATTTGTTTAGCCTGGGACCCCACCTCAAGATCATCAAGGCAGACTGAACAGCTGACAACCTCTTCGATTTTCACAGTGGGCAGCGCTTCAACCGCCTCTTTCTTTGCAGGAGGGGTACCATTCCGACTTGGGTCGCTCTCAGCCAAATGTTGAAGCAGCAGGCTCAGACCTGCTCCGAGGACATACTCCTCCAGTAAGCCATCATCATTTGTTGAACCGCCTTGGTCACCTTGGCCCTCATCAGGATCAAGCACTGAGCCTTGCAGAGCGAGGGCTTGGTTGAAGGCGTTGATCAGAATGGAACTGTCCCTTTCTTGGTCATCTGCAAGGTCATCATGGATGCTGTCAAGCACGCGTCGTAGAGTTGATGCCCGTCGATGCCTCCTGATAAAACCCTCAAACTCACGACCTAAATCATTATCTTCATCGTCGCTGTCCATCGTTTCTCCTGGATGCTCAATAGGGTTCCATTGCGAGAAACCCGGCTCTGGCTGCCTGTTGGTCAGTCTCTCAATCTCCTCATCGGTCATCTCTTCAACGAACCCGCCACCACAGGATGGGCACTTGATCTCATCCACCATGGCCTCCTCAATGGCCTGCTCGCATTCATGGCACCAGTACCTTGTGATTGCAGCTTCTGCCATCTTGCAAATCCTTCGGTTGACGGCACCACGATCAAAACGCAAATCTGTGAACCGGGCACCATAATAAGTTAATAATCCGTAAGATTCCCAAGCAAACAACCACGACATACACATTTTTTATCATCTACACGAGAGAGTCCAGCATCTTGCCAGAAGTTTAATCAAGAAGAACTGAAACAAGATGAACACTACGGCATCCATCCGTGACTGGATTTCACAAAGACAATTGCTGGCATACAGATCTCACAACAGATCAGCATCAAGAACAAAGAACAAGGGTTAGCTTTGCATCCAACACACGAAATAAATTAGCCTTTTTTGGGTTCTTCATCAACAGGGGCAGCAAGCTGTCCCAGAGAAAAGACCCACTTGGGGGGGATGAGGCACAGCACTGACAGATAGATCTTTGCGAAGGGGAAGGCAGAGATCAAGAGCCAAGATTCCCTCTCCAAGAATCAGGTGCTCGATTCCAATTCTTTCAGAGAACACGATGCTATCCCCCCCGAAAGAGGAATAAAAACGCAGCAGAAGTCTTTGGTTTGGGGGTTAGAAGAACAAGAAACCGGATTCCGGCACTGCTCAAGATTCACGCCATTGCACCCCGTATAATTTCGTCGCAGGACTCATCTTCCCCCACCAAAATTTCCTCTTTTTTTAAAGAGAAAAATCTCTAGATTAACATACAAGCGATCAAAGGGGGAAAGATAGAAATCGTCTCCATGATTTCGAACACTGGAACGAAAATAAAAAGAATCCCCTTTTGTATCAAACTAAGCAGAAGGAAAATTCAAATCAAGAAGTGACTAACCTTTCGATTGGACTGGGATATTGGATTGGATAGAGGCGGTCGTCTTGTTCTCGTTTGCTTCGGGCGAAGTGTGAGACGAAGAACAAGAAGTTCAGAGGGCAGGTGGCTGCAAAGCTGGATACTTTACTCCATCCCTAGAGGTTATCGTACTACTACCAATTTTTTTTCTCTCGTTCTTGAATAAGATAAAGTTTTTTTTATATGATCCTAGCGCAAATCTCCAACCAATAAAGTTTTGTTATGACTAAGCATACAAATCACGCAAATCCGCTGATCATCTTGGGAGATTTTTTAATATCTGTAAATTGGAGTTTGGCTGATAAGAACTCGTTTTCATCCAAAAGCAAAACTACCTACCAGACTAGTATGCTGTTGGCTTCTCCCTTGTATTATTGGCGTGTTAATTTCTATAAACCATTTTCAATTTATTAGAAAAATCTTGTTATAATCTTTTTTTTACGAAATAATAAGATATGAAATGTCAAAGATATAAATGATTTTGTCAAAATATTTTGTTTCTGATACTTTTCAGCGAAACTGTCGACGATGGTATTTGTGATACTTTTCAGCTAGGCAGCGAGGGCCTTATCTTTTCGCTTATACTTATATTTATCAGCCAAAGATTAAAATTTTAACATTAAATTTGAAGCCAATTTTAAGGTTTTTTTATCGAAGTTTATTTTTCAGCTTTGCTCTTAGATCGCTAAGAACACATATAAAGTTTTATTCACAAATTACTTTCGTTTGCAAATATGTTATTTTGCTTATTCCTGCAGGTTAACAGCACTGTTCAGGCCTTGCTAAATGATCCTGTCTAAAAAAATCGTTTCTTTAAAAGGAGATTTGTAATTTGGCCAAACATGAGTAGATGTTGTTTACTTCTTCTTTTTTTCATATATGCCATGTGTATGACATGTGGCTTTGGTGATGATTTCCCAGGTGTAGCAAATGAACACTAATCACTCAATTATGGGGCAAAAGAGCACAATTTTCTTCTTTTAAACCACTTAGTGTTTCAAATACAAGAACCGTTAGGATTTCTTTTTTAAAAAATATTTTAACCTTTTAAATTTTTTAAAAATAAACCATCCCAAACTTATTACTAAATCTAAACCTTGACAGCAGTGCCATGTCCAATGTTTATCACATGTTTTGTTACGCCAAATGGAGTGCCATTTTTAAAATGTTCAAATAATTTTTAGATAGTTTCTTTTTGAAAAACAAAAAATTAAAAGGTTAAAAAAATATTGAAATGCCAAGAGGGGCAAAGGCAACCATATGGTTTACTTGGTCAACCTAAATCTGCTTCCAAAAGGTTAATTAACCTCTACCGTAATTGGGTAACTTAATCACGACGTACTCCACCTGCCTGTCAATGTCATACTTTACACCTGATTAGTACTCCTACTTACTATACTTATTTTGGAACTGGACCTATCTAATTTCTCCTAGTCAGAACCAAATTTTCTCCTCAGAAAGATCCCATTTTTTTCTCATAGAATATTCACAAGCTGGTACTTCTAGAAGATAAAGAAATGTTAAATCCGGACCGACGATCTGGTGGTCTACTCGCCGATGTCAACGTGCCACCTGCACTTTTTGGGCCTAAAATGGGCCATACATGGGCCGGAACCCGGCCCATACAGGTCCGTGTGAACCAGGCCGGATACTGCGGCCCACACTACACGGCCTGGCCCATGAATGATCGGAGATGAGAGCAAGGGTGACGTCAGCCATGGCGGAGAAGCCAATCCACCTCCTCCCTCCCCTCCACCTCGCCGCCGCCGCCGCCGCCGCATCTGCCGAAGGCGGGAGCCGTGAGGGGAAGGACCTGTGGCACGAGGTGGTGGCGGCATGGAGTTCCTGCAGGGGCAGAGCACGGAGACCGCCGTGGCCGTGGCGGTGGCCGTCGTCGCCGTGGCCGCCGGCGCCGCCTTCCTCCTCCTCCTCCTCCGCAGCAGCAAGAAGCCCAAGGGTATGCACCCGCGAGATCTCTCTTCACTCGACGACGCTGCAGCTTCCACTGCCACTGACCACTGTGATACACCGACACTGATTTAGTGGTCATTTACCTAGCGATGTCTTCGGCCTTAGCCATCGGTTGCTTGCATCTGTTCTGCAGCATTTAGAGAATGGTTTTGTGATTGTTAATGTCTTCTTGAAGTAAGCTAGTATCATCTTTGGTTCATAGCTCATCCTGAATGGTTGTGCTGTGATTTGTTCCATTAGGCTGCTTGGACCCTGAGAACTTCAAGGAGTTTAAGCTTGTGGAGAAGAGGCAGATCAGTCATAATGTGGCCAAGTTCAGATTTGCTCTACCAACCCCTGCTTCTGTGCTGGGGCTTCCAATTGGCCAACATATCAGTTGCAGGTTGGGGGTTATATCATATGTCTTCTTGCTTCTCTCATATCTTTTGTTTCTCTTTTACAAAGAATTGTGTTAAATGTTATCTCCTGTTCTTGCAGAGGGCAGGATGCTACTGGCGAGGAAGTAATCAAGCCTTATACTCCAACTACGCTGGATTCTGATCTTGGACGGTTTGAGCTTGTTATTAAGGTAAAATTTCACAAATATGTTCCATTTTGAATTTGTTAGTCTTGTCTCGCTAGCTTTGTGCGTAATGTAAAGCTATAGTCCGTCAGAAATGCAATTATGTCAATTCATCCCCCTTTCCTGGTTTCCCCCCTAATTTTTCCTTCTCATTTTGAAGATGTATCCCCAAGGAAGAATGTCTCATCATTTTCATGAGATGAAAGTTGGTGACTATTTATCTGTGAGAGGACCTAAGGTATGGCTTTATTTCTGTTGTAAGTAATACAGAAATTTTCCATGCTGTATTTGGCCATTCTTGTGATGTATAATTTTTTCTCTGACTTGGTTATAAATCTTTGTGCCTGTATAAATTTGTCTGTGACTTAGGGTCGCTTCAAATACCAACCTGGGCAAGTAAGAGCATTTGGAATGTTAGCTGGAGGATCAGGCATTACCCCAATGTTCCAAGTAAGACCCTTTCCAACACCAATTTTTTTTATGGCATTTAATATGTGAGACACCTGTGTTCTTCAATTCATTGTCCTCCCTTACTGTAGGTCACAAGAGCAATTCTTGAAAACCCAAGTGACAATACGAAAGTGCACTTAATCTATGCCAATGTCACATATGATGACATTCTTCTAAAGGTATGATCTTGTTGAAAGAATTGCTGTAGTTCTCCACCAGTGATTAACCTTACTGGTGTTTGTTATATTTAAAGTCGCTTCAATTCATGGGTGCCTATTAGACTTGGATACTATATGCTCTATCCGTTCAGCTTATGATATTAAGAATAAGAATCTGGTATGTCTGGTTTTTGAATAAAGGGTAGTTTGTCTAGTTGTAGTGCAAAGTTAGCAGGTTATACCACAGAAACCTTGAAAATATCATACAGGACATGTACTTTGTTACCAGATAACCAGAATTCCATATATGTCGTCTCGATAATCTTCTTCCTTAATAATCTGGTAACAGCCCACTTTTTAATTGAAAGTCAAAGATGATATGCAAACTATCTCTCAGTGGCCTAACCATGAACACAATCAACCTTGTATTGTAGCTTGTTTTGCTATGTAGAGTCCTTTCTCTTTAGATCTGTTGGAGAAAAGTAAGGTTCCATTGTTGAAGTAATGCTTCATATGTGCTTTTCGATAACTGAATGAGACTACTGCATAGTTTCTGTAAGATGAACGTGGTTCAATATGTAGTACGATGTTGTGCTTGAAAGCTGATGTTTGCTAATTGCTGCTGCTCATTTACTTGTCGCTTTGATTTATGCAGGAAGAATTGGATAGTATGGTTGAAACCTATCCCGATCGCTTCAAGATATACTATGTATTAAATCAGGTTTGTTTTCTGTTCTGAGGTCTAGTACTTTGTACTGTGGTGTGCAATAATTTCATGCCTGAACTGTCTACTTTGGTAGTCCCATCTTCTACTACTTACTGCTAATACTACTATATTATGGCTTGCATTAAATTCCTACCATGCACCTTACACCATCAGCTTTGTTTTCATGAGCAGCCTCCAGAAATCTGGAATGGTGGTGTTGGGTTTGTGTCAATGGAAATGATCCAAACCCATTGCCCGGCACCTGCTGCTGACATTCAGGTAGGTGTCACATTGTGATGTCTTCTGTGGTAGCGTGCCTTCTGGAACTTGGAACCGACAATTGCTAAGAGAATAGTTGAAGTGTATTCCATCTACCAAGCAGGACATCTGTGTGACAATGTATGGTTGCTCCTTTCAGATATTGAGATGCGGACCTCCTCCCATGAACAAAGCCATGGCTGAACACCTGGAGAATCTTGGCTACACGAAGGAAATGCAGTTCCAATTCTAAGCCTCCACAGTGGAACAATACCGAAATAACAGCGATGGACAACATTTTCGTTCACCTTCAGTAGAAATTGTCTGACCCTAGTGCCATTTAATCAAGATATAGGCGAACTTTAAACCCGATAAAAGTAGAATGTCAGGTCAGCATATTTTGAGTGAAAGCAAAAAACAACACCTACTTGAGTTGGGGTCAGAAGTTCCTGTAGCCCATCATTTTTGTGCCAATGCTGTTCAATTCCAGACAGACAGAATGAAACTAATTATTTTTTTTTCAATCAGAATTTTGGACACAAGGTTGGAACGTTCATTGCTCCAGCTAACTCGTTGCTCAGGTGATTAAAGAATGACCAACTTGTACCATTTGATTATGAGAAGAAAAACAACTACTGTACGTGCCATTTATGTCTGTCCATAGATGCAAAAACCTGTGACAGCGAAGCTGTTGTCTGTTCTTTTCCAGCTCCTGTCCTGTACAGCCAAAACAGTGCATCAATTCATCCGCTTGTTTATGCACAAGATTGCAAATCTTTGACAGCAAAGCAATCGCCTTTTCTTTTCAGCAGCTCCAATTGATTTGGTATTACATACATACAAAAATGCATTGTGTCTTGTACGTTACTGTACGTATGTGCTGGCTTCCTAGGAGACATCAGCGAGGAGATTACGTCCGCCTGCTGGGCACACAAGCATTCGGTTCCATTTTTTAAAGTAAATTTCGGGACATTAAAACTATTTTATCAAAACTATCATGTTGCTGCAACTTTAGTTAGTCATTTAGGCTTCACCTCTCGTGCATGCAAAACAGAGCGACGTATTTTCTTAATTTTAATATATTTATATGATTTTTTTAAAAGTAGCTTTTGTATAGAAAACTTTTGTAAAAAACACACCGTTTATCAATTTAAAAAGCGTACGTATGGAACACGAGAGAGGCGAGTTGGAAAATGTGGGAAAGAACACAGCCTTAGAGAACTGTGTAGAACTATGTTTTATAGAAAACTATAGTTTTATTTGTCTGATAAGTTTAGAGCCCTTATTACACACATGGAATATTGAAGCTATTGTAATTTAGGCCCACATGTCGTATGTAGTGTACAAAGTTGTAGTTTTCTGATAAAATTGTTTACTATTGTTGTAATTTTGTGAATTATCAATTCCATAATTTGCTTGTTAGCTTATCAACCACAATCAAAATTTGAATTTTAAAACGCAATTTTAGAGTGGTTTTGAGTTTTTTTTATCGTAGTGTATTTGTCCAGTATTGCCTTTTAATATGTTAAGGTCATACATATAAAGGTTTTACCCATAAATTATTTTTATTGCTTCATTTATTTATTTTTCACGGCTCATCAGTTGTACATTAAGGGTCTGTTCGGTTCAGCTGGGCTGTGGCGCTGCAGCTCCCCTAGCATAATCTTGCTTGCTGAGTCCTGTAGCTGCAGTGCTGCTGCTGCCACAGCCAGCTCTTCCGAATTCACTCTAAGCAATGAGAGACCTGGTTGAAGTTGTAACAAGGTGATAGTTATCACCAAATAGTTGTAGTTTTGTGAAATCTACTTTTTTTAAAAAAAAAACTACAAACACACATTATATTATATATATATATATATGCCAAAATAAATTCTACAGATGTACTACTACTTTTGTCAAAACATTTTGTTAACTCAGAACAAATGATGGCAGTGATCAACACAGAGCTGTAATTTGGGGAGAAGCACTGAGCTGGTGCTATAATTAGAATCTTCGAGGTTAAGTTATCTCAAGCTAAATGTGGCTAAAGTAGAAGGGACATTGTTTTCAGATAAGACCAAGCTTTGATGTGTACCTTAAAGGTTATTATGTAGTAGGCCTCCCCCTACTTCTACTTATTTCTTTGGGTTGCACATATATGACTTTCTTCTCTTGATTGCCCCTCCCTCTCTAGATCTCTCATGGAGGGCGAAAATCGCTGTCATGATCAGTTTTAAATGCCCATCATGGCACCCCACTAATTCTCTTGAGGGGTCTAGTTTTAATGATGGAGATGATGATCCCACATCATCCCTCCCACGAGCTCGTGGCCTCATGACCAAATCATATCTTCTTTTTTATGGACCACGTCATTTCTTACTCGGATTTATTTGTCAAACTATAAATGAATTAATTATTGTTCGTCTATTTTTTTCATTGGTTAAAACAACTGGATTTGGAATGAATTTAAATGCAAACATATATGATTATATTTAAACTTGTCTAAAGTTTGTCTAGTAAAAATTTCACTAGTACTATCTATGTTTTTAAGTAATTGTTAGTGGCGATTATTATTGCTTTATTTTGACCGCAAAATACCATTAAATGGTTAGGCTAGGATGTGCGGAAGCGTTATGATTATGTTTAGGATGCAATACATCCGTAAGTAATTGTTTCTCTAATGAAAATGAGTTGTCGAGGTTTAAAGATGAAAAAGTGGATTTCCCCGTGCAAAGCTACATAAAAAGTACAATTGGATTGGATTTCATATACGATTATGTTTTTTATATAAAACTGGTAATAGAATTAATATTCACATATAGGAGTATCTCCCTACGTACGGTTGTAATTTGTATACAGTAAATTTAAAAAAGTAGAATTACATCTGATATACCGGTCTTACGCTCTTAGATTTTACATTTTTATGTGTTTCATATCAACCATATCGACCAATCTACACTGGTATAGTTTGAAACCATGTTAAATTTAGTAAGAACTTTACCAAAATCAGTTCAATCAACAAAAACAGTTAAGTAAATTTCACAGAACTACGGATATTCCGACTAATCTATCGCAAAACTAAAATATCGTATCACAAAACTATAAATTTAGCGGTAAATTTACTATAAAACTACATATTATATATTGAAGTTATCACAAAACTACATAATTAATATTGAAGTTATCACAAAACCGCAAATTCTAGAGTCTAAATCCCTAGTACTAACGTTATATTAGAGCTATATAAATGTTGTAGTTCTATGATAAATTAGCACTGTAGTTTTGTGATATATTTGCTACTTAACCTTTTTTTTTTTTGACACTCCATTCAACATGTAGTTTTGTGATATAAGATTTTAAATTTGTAGTTTTATGAAATTTACTTAAAAAGATGTTCCCATATTTATCATTGCATTATTCTGTCTGGCTGTCTGCCATCAAGCAAAATAGTCTTGACTCTTGAGAAGGATGTTGCCTTGAGAAAGATGGTGCTTCAAGCCTTCGACTCATCATGGATTAGTTGAGTTGACCACCACCACCACCACCACACCACGACAGACGGGCCAATCCACCCAACCGTCTCCACTTCCCTCCCCACCGCGCCAAATTCCCACCCCCTCCTCCGCCGCCGCCGCCGCCGCACGTGCGCCTCCACCTCCTCTCCATTGCCGCCGCCGCGGCACGGTCAACCACCCCCACCCTTCGGCGGAGTCGCGGAGGAATGCGGGGGGGGCAATAGAAAATTCGCTCGCTAGCAGTTGGCATGGCGGATTAGTTTAATCTTGAAGTCCTTGGTGGTGGTGGTGAGGAGGAGGGGGAGGAGGAGGGGATTGGGCTGGCTAATGGCCGGGTCCTCCTCCTCGTTTGGCTCGCAGAGCAGACCGCGACCCGGGTTTGAGGGGGGAGCAGCTCCGCGCCGCGCTCGCGGTTGCTGGCTGAGGCCGCCGCCGCCTTCTCGGGTTGGGGGAGTGGTTGGGGAGCCGTTGGGTTCTTCGCTGCTGGGGTTTTAGGGATCCTAGGCTGGCTTGCTTGCTTGCTCTTGGAGGAGGAGGAAGATCGTGGGGGTGGAGGGTTTCTTGCGGGGGTTGGCCGGATTTTGATTCGTCGCCCGAGCGGGTGGGTTCCTGTTTCATCCTGCTGCTGGAAATCTGTAGAATTGAATTTTTGTTTTCTGATTCCATATGCTCGATTTCTCTTTGTTCCTGTTCGCAACTTGTAGAAATTATGGTGGAAGAATTCTTTGGTTTGAGAAGGATAATGAGTTGTGAGAAAGGAGATTTTTGGCATGAAAACTACTTTTTCTTTTGGTATTTGTTGGCGTTGTGGCGCGGGAAATGTTTGATTTATTACTTGGAATCTCTTACAGTATTTACAGGCATGTAATTCATGAGAGACCGCATTGATAATATTTCATGAGACTTACTAGGTAGTGGATTTTTGTACGTCAACTGTTGCTCGAAATGGCACTGTCATAATTTTAGTATAATTATGATGAATAGTTGACGATACTTAATTCTGTTAAATTTTTGTTCAGGCTTGATACTGGAAAAAGGAGAAGCTTCCATTTTTTTTTCTCTGACTTGAAAGGGGATGGCCTTCCCAGATGATGATGAAAAGATGAAGGTTTGTGCTTTTCGCTTTACATCATTCATATAACATTACAATACACTCACAAAAATAAAACATAGCAGCATAATTCTATTCTCAGATCCACTGTGCTCTATTTGCATGTTTTGGCCCTAATATTTTTTTTTTCATACTGAACTTAAATCAAAGTATTTACTTTGTAATTGGTTGTATACTATAGGGTTGCCGGCCAAAACTTTTTGGAACAAAAGATAAGAAAGTTGTGAAGAGGGCAGATTACCAAAGCTGTTCTGCAGGTTAGTTTTTCTTTCTTTTTGAATTGTGCATCTAGACTGAATTGGTGTCTTGTAGGATAGTGATAAATTGAAACGAAGATGAGCATAATTTATCAAATTTCAGCTCATCTAGTTGAATCAGGGGAATTGCTCAAGTCAGTTGGGCAATCAGCCAACTACATTCATAAGGTCAACTGAACCTCGTTTCATTGTGTATAATGAGAAATATATGAGGAGACAGCCAGTTCAAATATGTTTAAGAAGATGCTAGGATTCATTTATTCTCTAGTTTCATACTTGATAACTTCGTGTCAGAAATTTCACATTTTGCCCGAATTGCTTCAATACAATTACGTTGATTTGGCCTAATGACAATAATATAGCGTAATAGCAACTAAATGTTTCCATGTTTTCCTGTCAAATGCAGTTAAGTCCGGGCCAAGTTCCTCAAAGTCACAATCTTCTTCCCCCTTCAGAACACTTACAGGTGGCCTTCTGTTTAGCATTTTTGCCACATTGCCTCACTCTATTCATGTGCTGATTTGTTTTGATTGGATTATTTTTTGGTTCTTTGGACTGAAAGGAAGTTTTTGCAGAAGTTAGGAGCATACGCCTCAGCCATTTACTTGGTCACTCTTCAAGTACTACTAAAACTGAACCTTTCAGGTCAAACAGCTAAACTTGCATGTTGAGTCATACTTTATGCCGTCGGTTTGTCATACTTTACATTCTTAGATCGGACTAGGTCGTCTTTAATTTTTTAATTCATTATATAGGATATTTGTATCTACATGGAATGTCGGAGGAAACACGCCTACTGCTGAATTAAACCTGGATGACTTCCTTCCTGCTGATGACAATTCAGATATTTATGTTTTAGGGTAAGTTATTTCACCAATTTTTCACCATCTTACATATTTTTCATATTTCAGTTAGTGAGTGATATGAAAAATAAAAATAGCTCCTTTTAATTTGTTTCCTAGTGATTTCAGGATGTTACTAACTTGCTTGCTTTGCCACGATGAGCTAATTTTCCTTAGTGTTCATTTGTTTCATTCAGTGAACCGAAGACGCTGTTTCCATCTGTCTCTTTTCTAATTTTTTTTTGACACATTCTCTTATGATATTATGCAGTTTTCAGGAAATTGTCCCTCTCAATGCTGGTAATGTGCTTGTCGTAGAAGACAATGAACCAGCTGCAAGGTGGCTTGCTCTTATAAACCGAACGCTAAACAAACCAGTTGACAGTAATGCTGATATCTTCCAGCACAAGCCATCTTCTTCCCTTGATTCAACCTCGTCTCTGTCTTCATCAAACCTTGATGCCTCATTCTCCAGCCGCACAAGAACAGCTAGTGGTAGTTCTGCAATCTTCCAGAAGTCCTCCTTGAAGTCTATCAGGAAGCCTTACATGCCAACCCAGAGAAAACTGCTCAAACTCTGCAATTGCTCAGTTGAGATGACTAGGAAGTCCTACAAAGATGCTTGCTTTGGATGTCCACAAGCATATGCTAATGAGACGGACTCTTCAGAAGATGATACAGATGATAGATCGAATGATCCTTGTGGTTATATAGTTGATGGAATGAATTCTGCTGCCTCTGCCTCCAGGGATCAGCTAAAATACAACCTCGTATCGTGCAAACGAATGGTTGGGATTTTTATCACGGTGTGGGCAAAGAAAGAACTTGTGCATCATATAGGCCATGTGAGAACGTCTTGTATAGGTCGTGGAATAATGGGCTATCTGGGAAACAAGGTAAGAATTAAATCAAAGTTCAGAAGTATTATCTTCATAACCTTGTAATGGGATGTCATTGTTAATTAAAGCATTACAATGGTCACAATTATATTAATAAGTACAGATTTAGCCTGACATGTTTTTTGATAATGTTTAATAGCCGGAAGTCATCCTTCTGTTCTTTCTTTTTTTTTTTTTGGAGAAAGAGAGGGGGACCTCTCCCATTTCATTAATGAAATGATAGTAGTTCTACAAGCATTCCAGGTTCCAACTTACACACAAAGTCTCAGACTACTCCTGACCTTCAGAATTACACCAGACAGACTAACAGAGCAACACAGATGCTAAAGCAAACATTTCAGCTCCTTCCATTCTTTTTAGTGTGACATAGTAATGAGGGTTCTTCACAATTCTCATGTGTAGATTACATATTTATGCCACACTTGCTTTTGGCTTCAGGGATGTATATCAGTGAGCATGACGGTGCACCAGACAAGTTTCTGCTTCATCTGTAGCCATTTGGCTTCAGGTGAGAAAGAGGGTGATGAGCTGAGGCGGAATTTAGATGTTTTAGAGATACTGAGACTCACGCAATTTCAAAGGATTTGTAGAGCTGGGCGAAGAATTCCTGAGAAAATTCTTGACCACGAGTAAGTCATGCACTCATGCTACACATGCTGCGAAGGATTTGTTCATTGTCAATCATCATTTACTAATTATTGTGATTTCTCTTATTTTGTTAGTCGAGTGATATGGCTGGGAGATCTAAACTACCGTATTTCCTTGAGCTATGAAGATACCAAGAAACTTCTTACTGAAAATAACTGGGATGCCCTTTTTGAAAAGGACCAGGTAAACTTCTCAAAAGATGCACTGTTTTTTGAAACTTCCTCTCAGAAGGAAAGGACTAAAGTAATAAACGATAAAACCAAACTTTCAAGAACTTCTACTGTGTATGTGTGCTCTATGTTCTAATTATATCTAGCCAGGCTATAATCTACTTATATCTTGTGAAATTTTGGTTAACATGCATGGTTGCCTTCTCTTTTTCAGCTTAACATCGAGCGCAAGTCTGGAAGGGTGTTCAAGGGTTGGAGTGAGGAGAAGATATATTTTGCTCCCACATACAAGTATTCTAGTAACTCAGATTCTTATGCTGGAGAGACTGCAACATCAAAGAAAAAGAGGAGAACCCCCGCCTGGTATGTACCGTGTTCATATTAGTTAGTTTTACTATAAAAATGTATTCCCACTGTGTCAGGTTACAACTTTATTGGTAAGTTAGTACCATTTAATTATCATTATAATTTGTCCACATGCTTGTGTGCAACTTCAGTAATCCAACATTATCATCTTATATTACCATAGAAGAGGAACATCTTTTGGGTTTCTTGACGTGAAACAGTGCGCATTTGGACAAATGTTGGTTGAAGTCGTAGAAATAGAAAACGATGAAATCATTCACATGAACAAATATTGCATCATACTAACAAATATATATCAGACAAATGGCTTGGTGTACTGGCTGTGTGCATTGCACTACTGCTGCACATTTTGCATTTCAAATGTTAATAGTTTCAACTTGTTCAGGTGTGACAGAATACTATGGCATGGAGATGGCATTGTGCAGTTGTCCTACTTCCGTGGGGAGTCCAAATTTTCGGATCACCGTCCTGTCTGTGGAACATTTATTGTTGATGTTGAAATACAAGAGAGCAGATCAAAGAGGCGATCATCTAATACCAACATCAGAATAGGTGCTGAAGAACTCTTACCAACTAGTAAGAGTAAGGCTAATAAAAATAAGGGCAATAAAGGTATGCAGCTTCTTGACTCTTGATTTAAATTTACCATAAAAACAACATAATTTCCAGTATATGCATGGACAAAACTAATTTGTATGGGCATTGCACAGGTTCTGGGACCTAAACCCTATTGGAAATTAAATTGGTAGCAACAGCAACTTGTACTAAGATACTGAAGAATATTTCCATCGGCACCTGTAGGTATTTATTCCAAAGCAGATTATTTTTTTGTGACAGGGGAAAGGTGATTACCAAGTCGTACAGAAAATGTAGTGCATATATACTTTCCAAAGGGAAAGGTGATTATATTATACTCGAACAATTTTCCACATTCTTTTTGTTCTTTTGGGTAGAACAAGTGTGCCTATGCATAGCTATCCAGAATCCATTGACCCCCTTGTATTATTGTGTCTGTCTGATCAGTTTGAACTTTTCTGTAACAAAATTGTACTGAGAACGAGGCATTATTCCAAAATGTACATTATGTTATCTATCTATCTATCTATCTATCTCATAATTGTCTTTGATTTGCCGATTATTATGTGACTATCTCATGGATAAACACAAATTAAGTATGATTACAATGTACAGTGGATGTTTCACCTGAGCTACGTCTGTAAATTTTCCTTTTTGTTCAGTATAATTTTGGTCACCTGGCCAAGTGCACCATGGTCTTCTTGTCTGGCTTCGATCGACTTCTTTCTCACGAATGAGTACAAACTTTTGTGATTTTCAGCTGAATTTCATTCCTTCAATCACATTAAGAACATTTATGCAAACCTATTTTATATCTGAATTCTGCTCACCTTGAAGTTCAACGGTAGAGCCTTAGAGGGTTCTGCAACTGGAAGCCAGAAATGCAAACTTAACAAGAAAGGTCAGCATTTCTGGTTTCCCTGACAAATGAGTGCAGTTGTTAGTGCACGAAGCTTATTCTGCAGAGGAACTGTACATCACCACATCTTTATTTGGCTTCAACAATTAGCCTTATCTGTTACCTGATTTGTTTCTTATCACTGAACAAAATCAGCTAGTAGTAGAAAATATGTTGTCCTTTCTTTCCTCAACTACTGTTTTGACAATGTTATGCGAGGGAATGATGTGTTAACATGAGACAGCATGATGAACTTGATGCCCCTGTTTTAATCCAAGTAGAAGTAGCTACTGTGGTCCAAGAGACAAGCAACAACCGCTGAAAAACCATTGTCTACCGAGTCTGATGACTAAACTACTTTCTTGTGGAGTCAGGAACAGGGTTTCAAAAACCGCCGGGGGCCCGGTTACCGCCACCCGGCGGTACGGCGGTTACCGGCGGTAACCGCGGTAACCGCGCAAAACCGCGACAAATTTACAAATCGAAATTTGAATTCAAAAATTCGGGCAAACCACGCGGTTTGACGCGGTAACCACGCGGTTTGGCGCGGTTACCGCGCGATGTGTAATGGGTTGCACAGTAACGGGCCGGCCCATTTTTTTTTCTTTTTCCAATTTTCAAATTTATTCTCCGTTTTGCTCTCAAATTTGAATAAATATTACTCTTTTTTGAGAAATTTCTTCACCATAAAACACTATAAATCAAGCACTACCTTCACTATTTTTTTTGATTTTTTTCTTTTTTTTTAAATTTTTGAATTTGGACGAATTTTATTAAACCGTACCGCGCGGTACGGGTAACCGTACCCCCGCGGTACGGGCGGTAACCGCGGTAACCGCGCGGTTACCGGCGGTTTTTCACACCCTGGTCAGGAAGCCACTAGCTTGGAACAGACTCCCCATTTGTTTTGTTTTTTTCTTTTTCATTTGCAAGACAGAATGTAAAAGGTAGTGCTTCATCCATTTCAAAATATAAATATTTATAGCACTTATATACCATAGTCTAAATAACTTATGGAACACTGATTCCAATAAATAAAAATCCATACATTTCTGGCTAATCATATTTTATGGTACAATTATAAATAATCTAAAATTTGACTATTAGTATGATTAAAAGAGAACTTTTTTAATCTTAATATTTTGTAAATAACTTTAAAACAAATATGGCTTAAAATTGAGGAGTAATTGAGGCTCCATTTTTATATGACTTTTATACGACTGGTTAGATTTCTCGTGGTGGAACCAGTCCACCCAAATTCAAATCCTAGATTTGACACGGGTGCTTGTATTTATGGCTAATTATTATTTCAGTGGTAGCCGATATACGCCTAGTCTTTTAAAGGTGTTCGTATGTGTAGGGTGTAAGTGTACGCGCGCTGAGGACGCATATGTTTAATACTGTGTTTCTCACTTCTCAGTAAAAAAAACGTCCGTTATATGAAAAAACACAGTAATTTTGAAGCAAAACATCGTGATTTCCAAGGTATGTGCGTTGGCGTTGCTCACCTCACCTACCCGTTCGTTACTAGTAGTTCGCTGCTTGCACGATTTCCCGGTGCGCCCTGGCCGTCCGATCTCCTCGGCGCGGGATTTCGACGGCTCAGATCTCCTCCCTCCTCATCACTGACTCGGTCCCTCTCCGCCGCGAAGCGTGGCGGCCACCGTCGCGGCGACCACTTCCACCTCCAGCTCGCCGCCGCAGCCGCCTCCTCCTCCATCTCCACCTCCACCTCCTCCTCGCCTCCGTTGGGCGAGAGGGAGACGGAGAATTCTCCGCTGCCATGGCTCCGGTGCGGCTCGGGGCTCCCACTTCCGGCGCCCTGCTGCTTCTTGTCCTCCTCCTCATCTGCGGCGGCGGCGGAGGCGGTGGCGTTGCTGCCGGGGGTGGAGGCGGAGGTGGAGGCGGGAAGGGGAGCTCGGTGTACCCGGCGCCCGTGGTGTACCCGCACCACTCCCGCCAGATCTCCTGGAAGCCCAGGTTCACTTTCTCTCGCTCGCGCGGGCGCCGCCATCGGTTGGTTCTTGGTTTCGTCTCGATCTCGACATTGGATGGACTGACTGATGCGTGATCCATGGCAGGGTGTTCCTCTACCAGCATTTCCTCAGCGACGACGAGGCCAACCACCTCGTCTCCCTCGTCAGTGCCCACCACCTCCCCAATCCAACAAATTTTCATTTCTTTTCTCTGCATGAATCGGGAGTTCTTGTGGATGCTTGAACTCTGTATGCCCAGGATTCATTGAGTTTTTAGAGGATTTATGTTTTTTTTTAGGCGAGAACGGAGCTCAAGAGGTCAGCGGTGGCTGATAACCTGTCCGGCAAGAGCGAGCTCAGCGACGCCCGCACCAGCTCCGGCACCTTCATCCGCAAGAGCCAGGTTAGGTCTTGATTAACGTTTTTTTTTCTTTGAATTATTTGTTCATCCGGAGTGTGAGTTCATCTTTTTTATTGAAAAGTATCTTTGAATAAAGGGGGTCTTTTAGTGTATGAAGATAGATGTGCAATATAACTTAAAGTAGTTCTTGGCTAAATGAGAGGATTCTTCCTCCCAATTTTGAGAATTTTCCTTTAAATTTACATAATTCTTATGTAATGAACAATCATGTCCAAATTTGTAGGATCCAATTGTTGCTGGTATAGAGGAAAAAATTGCTGCGTGGACATTTCTTCCTAAAGGTATTTGACTCCATTAAGACAATAACAATGCACTTTACTATTCATGCAATTCTTAGATGTTCTATATAATTCATAACTTACACATGTGAGATATTGTCATTTTACACCTAATAATCAACCTCCCTCTGGGCCTTTGTTTTCGTTCCTGTACCTATGGGCAGTCTTGAAGTGAAAGCCTCTAAAATAGTTATGCTCCACTTGGCATTTCATTTCTAAAATAAACAAAGTAAAGCCTTTAATGTTGAGCCTCCTTACCTGACTTTGGGGCTAATTCATCCAAAGGTTAGTTTCAAGCAGTATGTCATTGAAAACCACGCTCAATAATTGTTTTTTTTCCTTTTTCTTTTTGGGTGGGGATTGATAGTAGGGATTCTTTTTTATGTGTCCTCATGTTGTCTTCCTTCATACATAATCCAAATTTATGTTAACTTTATGTGTTTTTATTTTTTTTCTTGTACATATTATGTGATAATAATCAGAGAATGGTGAGGATATCCAAGTGTTAAGGTATAAGCACGGCGAGAAGTATGAACGGCACTATGATTACTTCAGCGACAATGTTAACACTCTCCGTGGTGGTCATCGCATAGCTACTGTTCTTATGTACTTAACAGATGTTGCAGAAGGTGGAGAAACAGTTTTCCCTCTAGCTGAGGTAATTTCTTTACTCCATTGTCTCCACGGTGTTTTTTTAAAAGAAAAGGAGAGAAATCTGAGCCAACAGGCCACAACCAAGCATGGGCTCCTTTACTTTCTCAGCGGTTTTGTGAATTTGTTTTGGGATCTCTTATTGCATCATTTTCTCTACACACATTTGTCAAACAGGAGTTTACAGAAAGTGGCACAAACAATGAAGATTCAACCTTGTCAGAATGTGCTAAAAAAGGTGTTGCAGGTATAAATTTCTACCGATGTTCCTTTTTTTTGTTTGTAATTATGATTCCCATGATTTTTGTAATATATCTTATGCATTTCTCAATTGATATACTACTGCTACCTCAGTGAAACCACGAAAAGGGGATGCACTTCTGTTCTTCAACCTTAGCCCAGATGCTTCAAAAGATTCATTGAGCCTCCACGCTGGATGCCCAGTCATAAAGGGTGAGAAATGGTCTGCTACAAAGTGGATTCGTGTAGCCTCATTCGACAAGGTTTATCACACACAAGGCAATTGCACTGACGACAATGAGAGTTGTGAAAAATGGGCTGCCTTGGGAGAGTGCATAAAGAACCCAGAATACATGATTGGAACAGCAGCATTACCAGGTTACTGCAGGAAGAGTTGCAACATATGTTAGCGATCCAATTGTAAATAATCAACGGTAACTGCTTTGTCGGCAGTCTGATTTATACAGGAATGGGTTAAAATAAGTAGGTTCATGAGGTTTTTGGCACAAATTCTACCAGTTTTGGTTACTTCCTGATGACAACTTGGTTTTTGTTACCATTCTTCAATGGTAACTGGCAGGAATTAGAAAGCAACTCATTGTTAGTATCCATAATTTATGCTAGATGGAGATGCACTTTATCAGTGCAATTTCTTTGGAGAGCAGGTTTTTGTTTTTATTTCATAGAGTTGTCGACTTGAGCCTACTAGGTTATGGTTGGATTCTGCCAGAATTTACAAACATCTGGTCTGGTTTTCATCTGTAATCCTTGAGTTGTCGACTTGAACCTACTAGGTCATGGTTAGATCCTGCCAGAATTTACAAACATCTGGCCTGGTTTTCATACCTGTAATCCTTCTCATTTGTGGTATATAGCTTCAGTGATTTTTGAATTCATTAATCAAATCTCTTTATCACTCTAATTCTGCATTCTGTACTGGAATATGTTCAATTGCCTGCTATCTGTGTGCAACTCAAGAGCTTTTTACTGACCAATGATGATGAACAAAGCTTCAGGAGAGCCAGAACTACGGCCATGTTTGGGAAGCCGAAGATTCTGAGAAATAGCCGATAAGTAGCCAGCTAGTGATAATCTGTGTTTTCTAGCTTTTGGAAACCACTATTTCATTTTATGGATTCTATAGCTTCTGATCCTCAGAATATTGATAAGAATTGAAGCTGTTTGGAAGAACCGGAGATTCTGGGAGAAACTGTAACCGCCAAACCTCCCCAAAAACTGGTCCTGAACCTTTTGAGTCTGAACTCTGAACCATCTCAGGGCAAGTACTATAATGTCTCATATGTTGCCTCTAAAAGTGCCATATTGGATTGAGTGATAAGGTGAAAGAGAAAAGTGAGAAGATTGATGATGAGTCACCCCTAAATTAAGAGGCAACCTCCACACAAATTTCAAAAAGAGTGCGAGAAGGGTGTCTTTTATTTCATAAGTGAATAAAATAGACAAATTTAGAGGTGGTAGTCATATTTGCCCTCATTAGTCATGACATCTCCTGTTCCTTTCTCACGACATGACGCCGTCCAACTGCGAGAAGCCCTGCACAAGCACACAAGATCCTTTTGGGTGCTTGCCCATAATGTGGCAGCAGTTGTAGCAGAAGTGAGAACCCTGATGAGCTTGCAGTTTTGCAGCCCAGCTCACATGGGAACAGAAAAAACTCACAAATGGATGGACAGTTGGGAATTGAATTTGATGATGCTGTTGCTTGCCATCTTCATTCATTGCTGCTATCTTGGAGTACTGTACAAGATGTGCAGTCGGTCGGTGCGTTGTGTCCACATTCACAACCGCCTTCATTCATTCATTCATTCACTTCTATGTGCATCATGCTGGCAAAGGCATTTGTCATTCTGTTTTAACTACTTTGCTGTGAGATTTTCTTTTTTGCCGTGAATTGTGTCACCTGTAACTTTGCAACCATGAACAGATAATCTGCAGCTATAAACAGTACTCACTCTAGTAAAAAGAAGTTGATGTTGGAAAAACTAAACTCTGTTCTTCTAACGTCAAACAAATTTGAATGGGTATTCAGTTCTCTCAACGTACAGTTTTTAATTCAAGGAATGTCATTGACAAGTGTCCAAATCTAAGAAATGTCATCGAAAAATGTGAGTTCTAAAAAAAAACATCGTACAAAACAGTTTTATCCCAAATGCGGAATGGACGAAAACCTAACGGTGATGGTAATTTTGGAACAAAATCCCCAAAAATATCATCGCCGTTAGGGTTCCGTCCATTCCGCGCCATTGAATATATTGTTCATCCTATAGCACTTAACGGTGCGGAATAGACGAAACCCTAATGATGATGGTAATTTTAGAACAAAGTCGTTTGTAAGATGATATTTCTTAGATTTTATACTTGTCGATGGTATTTAGAATTTATACTTGTCGATGGTATTTCTTAGATTTGGACGTTTGTTAATGGTATTTTTTGGATTATCTTAAAATGTAACTAAAGGAAGTATAGTAGATATGCTGCACCAAGGAAGAACTTTCTTATCATCATGCTGTTCTCTTTTTTTTTTTGAACTTTGCTCATGCTGTTCTTGTGACAACATAAAACCAGAAAAAGTACTAGTATTTCTCACATACCACACTAGGTGGTTACATGACGACTTGTGAGTCATCACATCAAACATATGAACAAGATAAGTATATACGTCCTTGCAAGGACAAATGTCATGGAATCCAGCAAGTTTTACATCAAAAGGAATTTTATAGTTACTTAATACGTCTTTAAATAAAAAGGAATTTGATTATGATCAGCAAGGACCATACAAACAAACAGCCACATCACCCCCAGAAAATGATAGCTAGTTGAGCGGATCAATCAAACGATTCTAAACATCCCGGCGACGACGACGGCGGCGGCGGCAATGGCGACGCCGACGGCGACGAGGTGGTCGCCGGAGCGGCCGGCGGCGGCGGCGTTGGTGGACGGCGTCGCCGTCGACGGCGGCGAGGCGAACGGTGAGGTCCCTGCAGATGAAGTTATTAAGGTCACATGAACTCGAATTTAGCGGCCGTATAAATACGTGACAGGCACATGAACCTAACGGTACGGCACGTCAGTGTTTACTGTCGAGCAATTAATTGCCATCATAAACTGTATATGATGCTTTTGTACATGTAGCCGATTAAATGTTTATTCCTCTATGATAGCATCATCACAAATTGTATGAACAACAACCATAACGATTCCCTCTTCTTTTTTCTTTTCTTTTTTTTGCGTGTATAAGGCAAAGCATATTAGACAATGTGAGTTAGGAGACGTATTTACTGGTGTAGTATGCATTAGTAGTGATGTGTTCATCAGCATCTTTTTTATACAGCGTGAAAAAAGATTATTTGAAAAAAAAAATCCGGCTGGAAACACAAATCTCTGGTTAAAATTAGATGCTTCCCTAAATCTTTGCTGGTATGTGACGTGTGTATTACTCAGCTTTTATATGTTGGAATTTCAAAAAAAAAAAAGGTGGGCAATTTCAGATATTTCAAACGCTAAAAGGGACTGATTTACTGAACTAGAACAATATCTTTGCCAAACTAAATCAAACTAAAATATCTATAGCCGGAGGCTCCTCATACATTAAATTCCTAATACTTCATTTCAAAATTGTGAACCTCCTGCCTTAGCCATCACTGACAAACAATCAAAATTAAACTACGGATATTTCATATTTCTACAATTCTACTCAACAAAAGCTATGGCGAATGATCAAGCTAATTAATAACTCCAGTTTTCTTAAAAGTACAAAACGAACAACATAATTAGTGAGAGCAAGTACATGCTTACCAGGGAACTGTGGGCCCTCACCGGAGGGCGAGACGGCTGCCGGCGAAGGCGACGGCGTTGGGCCCATTGGAACATTGAATCCAAAGGCTGCAAAATTAATTATTTCCCAAACTTAATTAGCCCATAATATGCTTACTAATCAAAAGCAAATACCCTCACCAAAAGTATAGAGCTATTACTTTTATCATTAAGACCTATATATCCTGCATATAACAAAAACCAAACCAATTCTAGCAATCATTTGCTCGATTCTGTCAAATCAATTTCACTCGTATGCTCAATATGCATATGCCAAAAGATGAGTAGCATCGAAATCAAATAATAAATCTGAAACCATTTTACCTAATATAGTAGTATATTAGTATGCATATAACAAAAACAAAGAAACATATCTCTATATGCAACCAATAATAAGTAATTAAGATATAAATCTAGTTTAACTTTTTTTTTATGGAGAGAGTGCTGCTGCTACTGCTACTAGAAGTGATTAAAGTGATAATTGGGGGAGATTAATAAGATTAAAGATTAGGGAGGTGATTGATTGCCTGCGCAGGTGGAGACGGGAGGGGTGGAGACGCGGCAGATGGCGGGGAGGGCGAGGGCGCGGGAGTAGTCGACGGCGATGCCGTAGGAGTCGCCGGCGCCGGAGAGGAGCTCGCAGAGGCACACCGGGTTGGACTCCACCAGCCCGGCCAGCTCCGGGCAGCACGGCTTGTCCGGCCGCCGCGCCCTGCTCCCGTTCTGCACGTACGTCAGGCAGTCCGACATGTTCAGCAGCGCCGTCAGGCACGCCTGGTCCAGCACCGGCCCCGCTGGCCCCGGCGCCGCCGCCGGCGCCGACTGCGCCTCCGCCGTCGTCGCCGCCGACGCCGCCAGTAGTACTACTACGGCGACTGCCACCGCCGCCAGCGTCGACGTCGGCCACCGCCGCTGCGCCGCCATGGCGCGCTCTCTGGGGGCTTTGATGGCGAGTGGTTCGTTAGGCGGTGGAAGGAGAGGAGAGGAGAGGAATCGAAAATGAATTCGGAGGCGTCGTGTGACACTGGCTTGTCCTGCAGGGTACACACGTATATATAGAGTGATGCGTCTTTTTTTCTAAAAAAAAATTCAGGTTACACACCACCGCGTCCACCTTGCCAGATATAAATGTGTTCACTTAGGGTGTGTTTAGTTGAGGAAATAAAAATTTTTGGGTGCCATATTGGACGTTTGACCGGATGTCGGAAGGGGTTTTCAGACACGAATAAAAAAACTAATTTCATAACTCGTCTAGAAACCGCGAGACGAATATTTTGAGCCTAATTAACCCGTCATTAGCACATGTGAGTTACTGTAGCACTTATAGTTAATCATGAACTAATTAGACTTAAAAGATTCGTCTCGCGATTTCCTCCCTAACTGTGTAATTAGTTTTTCATTTATCTACATCTAATGCTTCATGCATGTGTCTAAAGATTCAATGTGATGTTTTTCGGAAAAATATTTGGGGAACTAAACGGGCTTTAATACACGCTCAACGAACGTACAAGTAGTACGTCATAAATAAAATCTATATATCTTGCGAAATTCATATTCGAACACCATGGTGGTGTTTGAAATTCATATATAGATAAGGATGAAGATTAAGATTAAGGTTGTGTATAGATTCCAACTTTTTTTCATCGAACTTCTAATTTTTTCGTCACATCAAATATTTAGACACATGTATGGAGCATCAAATGTGGACAAAAACAAAAACTAATTGCACAGTCCGGCTGTAAATCACGAGATGAATCTTTTGAGCCTAATTACGTCATGATTAGCACATAGGCTAAAAAGATTCGTCTCACAGTTTATAGTCGGAACCTATAATTTGTTTTGTTATTAGTTTACATTATTAATACTTCAAATGTATATCCGTATACGTCAAAAAAAATTGGCCAATTTTTTACAGCATCTAAACACGGCCTAAGTGTTTTACGCAAAACGATATGGTATCAACGTATGATTAATTTTTTAATTGACTTTTAGTTATTTATTTTGTAAAATATCCAAACTTTAGAGCAACTTTTATATAGGAAGTTTTCGCACGAAACATATCGTTTAGTAATTTTTAAAAAGCATGTCACGCATATCCAAACTTTGGTCCAGTTTTTGTTGAAGAAATAAATAAATCTATACATCTTGCGAAATTCATATTTGAGCACTATATGTATCCCGAGTCATGACGTTTGGTGCAAGAGCATTTTATCCATGTCTATCTACAACAACAATAATATATATGGAGTATAAGTTTTCAAGAAAACAGCAATAATATATCGAACGCAATTCAAGGATGATGGCATATGCATGCATGCCGCATGAAGGATATGAGTTGTGGCTATCTAGCTAGCTAGCTCACATTAATGCACCTTGTTGTAGGAGTAGGATGCGTAGTTCTTAAAAAAAATAAAAAAAGAAAGAAAAATGTGTAGGATGTGTACACCCTCCGTCCGTCCGATAAAAAACGAATTTAGAATCGGATGTGACATATTCTAGTACGATAAATCTGAATATATATATGTCTAAATTCGTAGTAATAAAATGTGGCACATATAATACTAGATTGGTTTTTTTTAATAGAACGGAGTACATGTGAAACAAGAAACTGCCCGTGATTAAATCCTGTATCTATACAGTCGACACGCATGCATTGCGGCTCCGGTTCTCGCGGCAGGGATTAAATCCTGCCGTCCATCTTCAGCTCGATTCATCACTGTCCATCAGGTCAAATTTGCGCAGTTCACACACGCCGGCCGCCCGGGCCGACCCTCGCGTTGCATGATCGAATAATATGATTACGGCGAGCTGTTCTGTTCTTCGGTTCATATGCATGATCCGATGATCGATCGATCATGAGGTGCCAGTCTTTTGCATTGATTGGATCAAACATAATTCTCCCTCTGTCTCAAAAATAAATAAACACATGTGATATGTAACATATTTTAATACTACAAATCTACTTATAAAATAGAACTTATATTAAAGAGACAATCCATTATATGCCACTGAGTTTGTCACATCTTTACGATTTGCCACTGACTTTACCACGTTTTATAATATACCATCGATTTTTACTTAACTTTTATGATTTACCATCGCCGTCCAGTTAGTCTCCGTTAGTACTGTACAATTTTGTTCAAATGACCAAAATACCCCTGTGATAAAACTTCCAAAATGTGGACAAAAATTCCGAAATACCATATTATAAACATAAGATAGTAAACATTCAAAATTTGTCCAAAAACTTAAAGTCTGATATTTCAGAATTTTTATCCAAAATTTGAAAGTTTTTGTCTCAGGGGTATTTTGGTCATTTGGATGAAAGTGTACAGTACTAACGGAGACTAACTGGACGGCGATGGTAAATCGTAGAAGTTAAGCAAAAATCGATGGTATATTATAGAACGTGACAAAGTCAGTGGCAAATTATAGACCCATGACAAACTCAGTGGCATACAATGGATTATCTCTATATTAAATTTGTTTATTTTGGAATCGAAGAAAATACGAATAACCAAGCAAAGCTTGTCAAGTGCCTTCCTCACATATATGGTTGTGTTTAGTTCACGCCAAAATTGGAAGTTTGGTTGAAATTGGAACGATGTGACGGAAAAGTTGAAAGTTTATGTGTGTAGGAAAGTTTTAATGTGACGAAAAAATTAGAAGTTTGAAGAAATATTTTGAAGAGTAAAGTGCACCAGCGGTCCTCAAACTTGTAAGGGTGTGTCATCTAGGTCCCCAAACTCTCAAATCGTATTTACAGGTCCCTAAACTTGCTTAGCCGTACATTGCCTGTCCAAACCCCATTTGACTCGGTCTGCTCGCTGACGTGGCTTGCCAACGTGGAGGGGAGGAGACAGCCGGGGTGGTGCATTATGCATTAAGCCCCTTATTTTTTCGCCAGCCCTCAGACGATAAATCCCCCACTCTTTTTTTTCCTCGGCGCGGGAAGGACGAAATCCCCGACTCCTCGTTATCCTCGGTGTGGGAAGGGCGAAGTGGGTGACGCAAGCGAGAGGAGGTGGTGATCGCCGGTGATCGCCGACAACCAACGCCAATCGATCATAGGATTGGTAGAGAGGGTGGGGGAGCGATTCTGTCTGCACCCATCGACGGACGCGACGGCAGAGAATGGTGGCAAGATTGCGTCGACTAGGTGGAGACGCGCCTGTGTACGGTGAGTAAAATCAAGCCCTAATCCTTGTATGCTAGCAGGTTTAGATCGATAATAGGCAGTAATGTACCTTGCTGTTGGTAGAAAATTTGGAATTTGCTGGCTCGGTTCGATGCATGTTTTGCCGTACGGCAAAGCTAGGGTTTTTTGTTTGCACAAGTTTACATGCTGTATCGTGGATTGAAGGATTTGTTTCTTCCTTACTAGGTGATGGGTCAGATGAGTTCACAGTGAAGGTTCACCATGGGGGTTTTTTCGTTGGGCATGGTAATCTCCGTTCTTATTTGAATGGAAAAGTGAGTTGGTTTGATAATGTCGAGATAGACACTTGGTCTCCACTATGGCTGGACCAGTTCGTTGAGGATCTTGGATACCTTAGGACTCCCACCTTGAAGATTTATTGGCTGTTACCTGGTAAGGACATTTCAGATGGGTTAAGAGTGGTGGTTAGTGATACTTATACAAATGTGATGGCATCAATGGTTGAAAAGTTCAGGACCTTAGTTGTATATATTGACCATGATGACAAAGTTGCAGGGATTGACTGGGATGATATCATAGACAATCCAGGTACACCTTTACCAAAGGTAATCAGCCCCAATAAGGTGAATTGTGTAGAGAAGATAATAGGTGAGAGCAGCAAACAGCAAGAGGGTAATCTTAAGGAGCAGAGTAGCAGGCAACAACAAGGAAGCAGGCAGCAACAGAGCAATCTAAAAGAGCATAACAACAGGGAGCAACAAGAAGATGATTGTGATGAAGAAGACAGTGGGACAAAGAGTGATGACAGTGATGAGGAATTCTATGATAGTGACTATGAATTAGATGATGGTGATGATGACTTGTTTGTTGATTATGTTGATGAAAATGTGATAGATGAGGGGGTGGCCAAAGGAAAGAAAATATTGAAGGGAAAGAAAGCCAGAGGAAGCAGGTTGAAGGGAAATCTTGCAATTGTGCCTAGAGGAGATGAAAGTGAAGATACTGATGAGGAAGAGCTTAATGCAGCAGATTCTGATGATGAGGGTGTCAGGCTCAAGTTCAAGTCATTTGCAGAAGAGGACTTGAACAATCCTAATTTCAAGGTTGGTCTTGTTTTCCCATCTGTTAAGAAGTTGAGACAAGCAATTACTGAGTACAGTGTAAGGAATAGGGTTGAGATCAAGATGCCTAGAAATGATAGGAGGAGGATAAGAGCTCATTGTGAAGAAGGTTGCCCATGGAATCTTTATACTTCAGAAGACAGTAGAGCTAAAGCTTTTGTGGTGAAGACTTATGATGAGAGACATACCTGTCAAAAAGAGTGGATTCTCAAAAGGTGCACATCCAAATGGTTGGCTGGAAAGTATATAGAAGCATTTAGGGCTGATGAGAAAATGAGCCTAACTAGTTTTGCAAAGACAGTGCAGCTGCAGTGGAACTTGACACCATCTAGGAGCAAATTAGCTAGAGCTAGAAGGATTGCAATGAAGACCATACATGGAGATGAGGTTGAGCAGTACAAGCTTTTGTGGGATTATGGCAAAGAATTGAGGAGAAGCAATCCTGGGACTTCTTTCTTCCTGAAGCTTGATGGTAGCCTTTTCAGCCAATGTTACATGTCAATGGATGCTTGCAAGAGAGGGTTTCTGAATGGTTGCAGACCATTGATTTGTTTGGATGGTTGCCACATTAAGACAAAGTATGGTGGACAATTGCTAACTGCAGTTGGTATGGATCCAAATGACTGTATATATCCAATTGCCTTTGCTGTAGTGGAGGTTGAATCTCTGGCTACATGGAAATGGTTCTTGGAGACACTGAAAAATGATCTAGGCATCGAAAACACATATCCTTGGACTATAATGACTGATAAGCAGAAGGGGTTAATACCAGCTGTCCAACAGGTCTTCCCAGAGTCTGAACATAGGTTCTGTGTTAGGCATCTGTACTCAAACTTTCAGCTTCAGTTTAAGGGAGAAGTACCGAAGAATCAATTGTGGGCATGTGCTAGGTCATCTTCTGTCCAAGAATGGAACAAAAATATGGATGTGATGAGAAATTTGAACAAGAGTGCTTATGAATGGCTTGAAAAGTTGCCTCCAAACACATGGGTCAGAGCTTTCTTCTCAGAATTCCCTAAGTGTGATATATTACTAAATAATAATTGCGAGGTTTTTAACAAATACATTCTAGAAGCTAGAGAATTACCTATTTTGACTATGCTAGAGAAGATAAAAGGACAACTCATGACTAGGCATTTCAATAAACAAAAAGAGTTGGCTGATCAGTTCCAAGGCTTAATCTGCCCCAAAATTAGGAAGAAGGTGCTGAAAAATGCAGATGCAGCTAATACATGTTATGCATTACCAGCTGGGCAGGGAATATTTCAAGTGCATGAAAGGGAATATCAGTACATAGTGGATATCAATGCTATGCATTGTGATTGCAGGAGGTGGGACTTGACAGGGATTCCATGTAATCATGCCATATCCTGTCTTAGGCATGAGAGGATAAATGCTGAAAGTATTCTCCCTAATTGCTACACTACAGATGCATTCAGTAAAGCCTATGGTTTCAACATTTGGCCCTGCAATGACAAGAGCAAATGGGAAAATATCAATGGTCCTGAGATTAAGCCACCTGTGTATGAGAAGAAGGCTGGCAGGCCCAAAAAGTCTAGGAGAAAGGCACCATATGAAGTAATTGGCAAAAATGGTCCAAAGCTGACAAAACATGGAGTGATGATGCACTGCAAGTATTGTGGAGAAGAAAATCACAACTCAGGGGGTTGTAAACTAAAGAAGCAGGGCATCAGTTCTGAGGAGGCAAAGAGGATGGTTGCCACAGCAAAAGAATCACTTGCAATGGAGATTCAACAAAATATCACTGAACAAGAACCAAATGTTATCAACCAGGTAAAATATCACTGAACATAACTCCTCTGTTGCACATGTTTTTTTTGCATGTCTTATGAACTACATGACCTATGGTATATATAGGATGTCATAGATGAACATATTGCTGCTTCTCAGACTTCATCTCAACTACTATCACAGCTAGGAAGCACTGTTTTTAGTCAGATGGCTGATCAGGTAATGTTGTTTTCAATCATTTCAATCTCACATTGCAAACTACTTGTCATTGCAAACTATTTATCATGTATATATGTTCTGAATTTTGCAGCCAAATCAAAGTTCTGTGCTATCTCAACAACTAGGCCCATTGCCAGATCCTGCCTTTATCATGTCTAACATTCCATCAGCAAGGCCAGCTCCTCTTACAACCAACACCAAATTAGGGAAGTCAGTGGCACTGAAGAAAAGAAAGACCACAACTGGAAACAAGAAGTCTGCAAGTGCCGCATCAAAAAAGAAGCCTGCACCTGGGATTGGAACAAATTAATGCCTATTAGTTAGCTGGGAATATATTTTGTTTAGTGACAATCTGACAAAAAATGGTGTTTTGGTTGTCAACACACTGTGATGTATATAATGGATTAAAAATATGCTATATCAGCTGCATGCTGTAGTGCAAGTGCATGGCTACTTGCTGATTGCCAGAATTATAGTTGCATTTTGTGATACTTAAGTGCTGAAAGTATCTGAAATGGATGTTCTGCCTTTTTACTGAATGTGTGCCTCATTTTGCCTTTGCAATATTGTGCCTCAAATATTCTATGAATTGAACAAGCATTCCTTCAAAATTTGTATAGACCCAACATTCACAAAGATGCAGATTAAAGAAACTGGCTATTTTATTCATCACACACCATGCATTTTTAGTGCATTTCACACATTACACATTTCAACCACTCCTAAAGAAAGCATACATATTTGTCACCGCAACAACCACACAGGCAGCTACTACACATCTCAATAAGGCAACAATATCCCTACCAATGTCTATCAACAAGTTCATCCTCCTAACAAGCACTTTAATCTGCTCAGCAATTTGCTCTGCATCATTTTCAACATATGGTTGTGCACCCTGTTGAACCATTGCATTTGTCTGAACACGCACAGCAGAACATGGACTCTGAATATGCACAGCACGAGATGCAAGATGCCCAGTATTAATCAAGTACTCCTCATATTGTTCCTCCCAGTACCAAAAGCGACATCCAATTCCATCTCGCTGCGCAAAAAATGTACAAAATTAACCTCAGCAAACCGATGCGAATTGAAAATTTTCCACCACAACACAGATTATAGAAGAGAAGAACTAACCTGATGGCAAGGGCAAGTGTAAAATATGCGCCCTTTATTCTCAGGCGTATTAGCCGCACGCCTAATGATTGTCTCACAATCGCAACAAGGGCACTTAATCAGAGGGAAACGCCCCTTTCCCTTCCGCCGATTCGTCGACGATGAACTCGAGCCCCCTTCCATGGCGCCAATCAAATTGAAGGGCTTCACTCTAGATACGCCAAATGGAACCAATTGGATGCCCCGCATCCGAGCTTGAAGAAGAGGGCGACGAACTGAAGATGGAGGCGACGAATCGAGCCTCCCTAGGGTTTCACGGCTTAGCTCGATGGGGAAAAAAAAGCGAAACAGTGGGGGATTTATCGTCTGAGGGCTGGCGAAAAAATAAGGGGCTTAATGCATAATGCACCACCCTGGCTGTCTCCTCCCCTCCACGTTGGCAAGCCATGTCAGCGAGCAGACCGAGTCAAATGGGTTTGGACAGGCAATGTACGGCTAAGCAAGTTTAGGGACCTGTAAATGCGATTTGAGAGTTTGGGGATCTAGATGACACACCCTTATAAGTTTGAGGACCGCTGGTTCACTTTACTCTATTTTGAAACTAAACACGGCGATTGAATCGGAGTAAAAAGTAGGACCGTCACGTCACGTCGGATGTTAGCGCACGGACGGTTGGGGAAGTGATGTACTGTAGGAGTATCTAGCTAGCTGGCATTCATTCTTGCATTCATGGTACAGGCATGATCACCGTCCCCTTTCTCTCTGTGCTACTGTTACTGTGGCTCTGCTGCGTGCAGCTGTCACGGTTTCATTTTTCGGGTGTCTCTGGGTTGGTTAACCCAATACACAAGGCAACGAACATGTTTACCGGCTTGGTTTCATGTGGGAAAAGAAAGCAACGGAATTGTAGCCATCTCAGCTCAGCTCTCAGGTGTACAATGGCCACTCGACCGCTTGCTTGCCTGCCGGTCTCTTTCGTTTGCTCCGTTGAACATGACGGGTACAAAAACTTTGGGATGCCACCAAAATATTCGTTCGTCCAGGACTCCACATAGGCACATCGTAGCCGCCTGGATATATTGCTCCGACCGACACTAGAGATGGTAATGGGACTCCGATTTCCCTGGGTGTGAATATATGTTGCATTGCTTATATAATTTGACACGTATATATTATTTTAAATAGGGACAAAGACCCCATAGGAATTTATTCCCCGTGCGGACTGGGATGGGAGCAAAATTTCCCCTTCGTATTTCACGAGGACGGGAACGGAAAAGTTTTGTTTTGCGGGGATGGGGGTGGGGGTGGGGGTGGGGAATTCACCATCCGACACAAACTTAGATTCTGTTTAAGAGTAGAGAAAAGAAAACGTTTGAAAAGATAGGTAAACGAGATAAGTTATTAGTGTATAATTAATATTTAATTAATTATTAATTAATTATTTTAAATTTAAAAATGAATTAATATTGTATTTTGAAACAGTTTTTATATACTACCTCCATCCCATATTACTTGTCGGTTTGAGTTGTTGTTTGTACTCCCTCCGTTTCAAAATATAAGCATTTTTAGCTATGAATCTAGACAACTGTGTATCCAGATTCATAGCTAAAAGTGGCTATATTTTAGGACGGAGGTAGTAATATTTAATCATTCGTCTTATTCAAATTTTTTTTGAAATTATTATTTATTTTGTCTATGACTTGTTTTATTATCAAATTTATTTTAAGTATGTCTTGTTTTTTTATATTTGCACTAATTTTTTAAATAAAACGAATGATCAAACGTTGGAAGAAAAAGTCAAAGCGACAAGTAATATGGGACGGAGATAGTAGAATTTATTTTTAAAAAAACATACCTTTAATTTGGGAAATGTGCGCGAAAGTATTCGTCCAAATGTTTGTGCTGCCAATCACAGCCTTACGCCTCCTTTGAAATTTGATATGACCAAACGGATTTCATTGAGATCAAAACCCATTCCTGTAAAATTCTTATGTTCCAAGAAACCCTTACAGCCCACAGGAAATGATCGGTTTGCAATTTTCAGGCTGACGTTACAACGCGCTTACTTCAATATAAACATACGGAAAGCTACTGAAAAGGAATGAAGTGCCATCCAAGAAGAAAGGCAGCAGAATGCTGGCCAGGAAGGCAACGGGGGATAAACTGGTAAGGATATTGGGGGTGGCTGCACAGAACAGGATTACGTAACAATACGCTATGCCCAAGACAAGTCAATACTACAACATCTGTGGCGAGTACAGAGGTACAAAAGTCAGGCACCGTAAGCCTTTCGATTAAAAACCAAACTGAAACACGCACGATTTTTTAACACCCCACGAAAAACAATCTGATAGCTAGCTCCTTTGGTGGTGGAACCTAAAGAGCTTTATCTTCCCAAAACATCCACATCATTATCTGTCATGACTATATAGTTTCGATACGTAAAAAGGCAGCGTTCACTCAGGGATATCCGCCATGTCTTCCTTTCATTTAAGCCCGGCCAAGATGCTTCAAGCCTGTTTTTAGGATATAAAAGGCAGGTGGTTAGTTGCCTACAAACATTTTAGGTAAGATATGATAACGCGCGGTTAAAGCGCTACTGTGGATGTTCTATAGCAGCAAATATGCCATTGTCGTACCTTGTTGGCAATGTTGTTGGAAAGCCAGTCAAGCCCCTCATACAACCCCTCACCAGAGGTAGCACATGTGCTCTGGATGTACCTATGAGAACATAAGACGAATAATTCAGATTGCATAGAAAGTTTAACTTTAAAACACTAATATTGGGTATTGTCAACACAGTTGGATAATGCACACTGAATGCTATTACTTGGTTCACAATTTGCTAATGCATGAATGGTTTTACTTGGTTTAGGACAAGGATTTAGTACTTAAGTAGAATACAGGAGCACCATTATGCGAGCAGCACATAGTATGCTGAAAGCATATAAATACACACTATTGCTGATCAATCTAAAAAGCCCTGTGTGAGCAGGCCATAAACTTTTAAGAGGAAAGGAAACCATACCAGTGCCGCTGGCGCAAGGAGTGCAGACCAAGCTTGTCGGTGATCTCAGCAGCGTTCATGGCATTAGGAAGATCTTGTTTGTTTGCAAACACCAGCAGCACAGCATCACGTAGCTCATCCTGTAGCCACAACATGCCAACATTAAAACTATAGCTTCTAGAACATCACATGATAAGCATGATAGCATGTATAAGTTGTTTCATCCATGTTGGGCTCTTTAGAAATTTCAAATAGCTTTGGAACCACATCTTATGCGTATATTACCAATGGCAGATCTTCCTGATGGCTAGAGGAAAAAAGGGAAAGAGGGAATCATGGGCAAAGAATCTTACAAATCACACGTATTTATGAATTATGATTCTCAACAACAGAATATAGCAAACCACATGCAATTTATGAATTGTTTCCCAACAAGAGTCTAAAGGTAGACTAATACTTTGAACTCTGATATTGATAGTACCTCATTCAGCATACGGTGGAGCTCATCCCTGGCCTCAACAACACGCTCTCTGTCATTGCTGTCCACAACAAAAATGAGGCCCTGGGTGTTCTGGAAATAGTGCCTCCACAGGGGCCTGATCTGTATTAATAAAACACACAGAAAATATCAGATCACAAGAACATGCCAAGACAAAATAGATGAGAGAATGAAGCTATAAACAATTGAAATGATAAATTGATATGTTTGACAAAGGAAGTTAACCAAATCTAAATTCTTTTTTTTTTCATAAAATTCAATAAAACAGATCCATCAGAGCTTAGTGTAAGGTAATATATACTGCAGTTTGCATGCGTGGTTTCTGATTATGCAAGCATGTTAATAACAGGTAATTGACAATGTTAAACTATATAATATGCACCAAAAAAATAATTCAGAAATAATAGCTGATCGAAGGCAATTTCTTACCTTGTCCTGACCACCAACATCCCAAACGGTGAAGCTAATGTTCTTGTACTCAACAGTTTCGACATTAAAACCTGCAGTTATAGACAGCAAGTTTGGATCAATGTAAATGCTAGCAGATTGTTTTTCCAGTGTTTTAACTTCCTAAAACCATATAATTCTACCATCCTACAACATTGGCTGAACTCTGAAAGAGAGTATTCAGGTTTTAAATCCAGTAAGATGAAACACATTGAAGGAGACATCTCAGTAATTTATTTAAGTCCACCTAGCATATAGGAGTAAACATTATACGTGAAGTGGAGTGTAAACACACTTGAGCCAAATAATCAATTTGAGATCAGCTAAAACTAATCCCATTGCTAAACAGTTCTTATCATTAAGCCAGCCCAAAAAATTATTGTCTGACTAAAAAGGACCTAATTCTGACCTTTGATCTATTGCTGAGCAACGCAAGCTGGAATGTTAATTATGCGCACACAGCCTAACTTAATGCGATGGGACAAATGGAGACCGTGCATCTACCATACCACTATAAGCTGAATTACTGAACACATCGTAACAATACGTGCACAGCATAGGATGTGGATTGGAAACGCACCGATGGTGGGGATAGTGGTGACGATCTCGCCGAGCTTGAGCTTGTAGAGGATGGTGGTTTTACCGGCCGCATCGAGACCGACCATGAGGATCCTCATCTCCTTCTTGGCGAAGAGGCGGCTGAACAGCTTCGTGAACGTGAGCCCCATCTCCGCTCCCGCTCTGAAAACGAAATGAAGACAAAAAAAGTCAGTCCCGTAGATCCACAGGGTCTCGATAGAAAAACGAGCGGAATCAAAGCAACCGCAGCTAGATCCGCGAGATCTGAAGCCCGCAGCCCGCAGATCTGCGAGCAAGGGCACGCAGAAAGCGCGGCATCGGATCGGATTCGCGGCCAACCGAAGCGATTCCCCGCGCCCACCCAGATTCCTCCCAACACCAAGCGTGGGAACGAAGCTAGATCGAGCGGAGCCGGTCAAACCGGGTCAAACTTCCCCCCGAATCAATTCAAATCCCCCCCCCCCCCCAAACCTATCGAATCTAGCGAGAAAACCTAACCAATCAAATCTCCTTCAGATCACCCCAACCCATACAAACCCACCCCCAAAAATCGCACAAAACAAGCACACACACACACACACCCAAATCTACCGATCAAATCAAAATCAAACCAAACCAGCTGCTGCCGAACCGATCGGATCGGAAGCAGACGCAGAATTCCACTCAAAACCAGCGAGATCGAACACGACCAGCGGGGGAATTTCGCGGGGGCGGTGGTTACCGAGATCGGCGACGGCGACGGCGACGGCGACGGCGATCTCCTCCTCTCCTTCTCTCCCCTGCTCTCCCCGCGGCGGCGTCCGGCTCCCTCCTCCTCGCGGGCGCGGATGGATCGCAGGTGGAGAGGAGAAATGGGCGGAGAGGGAGAGGAGATAGATGGGGAGAGAGAGGTCGTTGAAATCGCGCAAGGGAGGAGGTTATATAGGAGGGGGAGGGGGAGGGGCTGGGTCACCGGCAGGTGGGGCCCACGTGGGTTTGTGGTGAGGGCGTGGAGGGGCAGGTTGGAGGGCCCTGCTGGTAGGTGGGCCCCGGAAATGTGCGGTACGCGTCGGTGGTCACTAGGAATTTTGCGATTATATATACCCTCCCGGAGTGCAGGGTTCGACCTGTGGGTTTACTGATTTGTATGGGGTCACCGAAATTCTAAAATTTCAGAAATTTTAGAAATATTGTGGAAATTTTGGACGAATTTTTTTGAAAAAATTTGAATACAAATTTGAAAATTGCGGGCGAAATTTCTGAAAAATGAAAAAAAAACAGATAGCAACAAAATCCGTTCGGCAAGCATACAAGTTGCAACTACTGCATCACAAATTCACAAAATACAGCCAAACAAAACCCACTCACAGATGATAAAATGTAGGTTCAAAGTCTGAACAGCAGCACATCAACACATCAGGCGAACAATATAGTGAGAACAAACAAATGTGAAAAGAGGGATAATAACGAACCTTGGTCATGCCTGAGTCCGTGCCTACCTTAGTTTGCCATTCTTCTTTGCACTCTAAGCCTGACCTTAAAAATGGACCTTTGAGCTCCACCTCTTCTCTTGTTCCTTGCCTTTCTGGGATTACCTCGAGGGCAACCTCAATAAGGGATTCAAATGGGATGAGACTGTCAATTTTGTTGCTCTATGCGAGCTCCAGAGCCGCCCATATTGCTGCCACCTCCCGCTTCTATCACCGTAGCAGCTCAGCCTCCTCCTCCTTTCGTGCTACAACGATAAGGTAGAGATGACGCATAACTAGGATGATGACAACTAGGTAACGTGGCATAAAGATGATGATGGTGAAGCTTCGAGGACAGCTGATGAGGTTACCGGTAGTGCACCGAGACATGGCGAAGGGGACATAAAAGAGTGGCTCTTCATGTAGCTCGGTGAGACTGAGATAGAGGCATGAAAGAAAACTGCAGTATATAACTCTATTTTATAATGCATGCTAAGCTATGGTATTTTTGTTCCCAACAATAATTTACATAAGGTAAGATTCGGGATCATGCACTATTTTACCACATAAAATTTATATATAGTATTAAATGGATTTCAATTATCAACTTATACTACGGGTAGTTATGAAAACAATTCAAATAACATAATTGCCCTTCATTTACGATGCATTGAAACATACAAACCATTTATCCATGAGAACAGTAGTAGCATTTATTTAGTTTCTTTATATATCTATTTAGTTTTTTTTTGACGCGTAGCATTCGTTCATTAAGGGAAATAGAAAAACAAACAGTTGCAAGAAGTTCTAACAGGAACTACATTTATAATAAGTGAGAGACTATTCAAATAAGAGATTTAATATTTCAAAAATGTACTCCATCCATTCCTAAATATAAGGCACAACTACTCTCAACCCAAAGACCAAGAAATAATTATTATCACCTTATAGATTGGGTTATCCTAATAAATAGAATGCATGCACCCAATAAAATTAGATTGGGCTATCCTAATAAATAGAATGCACGCGCCCAATAAAATTAGAGATCTTGATGGTGTAGGATTTAAATAATACTTCCTTCGTTTCACAATGTAAGTCATTCTAGCATTTTTCACGTTCATATTGATATTAATGAATCTAGATACATCAATATGAATGTGGGAAATGCTAGAATGACTTACATTGTAAAACGGAGGAAGTAATATTCCAGTGAAAAGAGTGCTAGTTAATAACATGCATGCATGTCTGCCTTATATTATGAAATAACTTTAAATAAAAGAACGTTGTGCCTTGTATTATTGAATGGAGTATTGAAGTTCTACGGTGACATGGAATTAAGGAAGAGACTATTCAATTATTGTTTTTCATATCCCAAACAGTTTTTTTCTCTATCATGATTTTGAACAGTGCCAAGATTTTTTTTAATTTCAAACAAAAACAAGCTGGAGTACTAGTAAAATAAATAAAATGGCCCAATGACCAAGTGACATGCCCCATTTCCACCCCTCCTATTTCCTCTCTTTCACGCATCTCGACTCCATCTCACTCTCCCCCCTCCCTCCTCTCTCGCTCGCTGCGATCTGCACTGCTACTCCGGTAGGTCTCCTCCCCCCCCCCCTTCCTCGCGCGGCCGCGGCCACCGCCGGCGAGAAGCCCGCCGCGGCGGCGCTGACCCCCTCCGCCTCTTCCCGCGCGCGGCCCCGCCAGCCGGCCACCGTCTCGGGTCAAATCGAATCGAATCGAATCCAAAGGTATTCTCTTCGCTCTTCTCCTCCGCGGGCCGCTTGGATTGATGGCTCGGGGTCGCGTAGGTAGGGGAATCTGTTCGCGGGTTGGATTGGGTTGGGTTGGATTTTCTTCTCCTTCCCAATTAGCCCCCCGTCCAGTTTGTTCTAGATTTCTGTGATGCGTCTGGTACTGATGGATGTTAGTTTTTGCAGAGGAAAATCTGGGGTTCAGTTGAACCCTAATGCCCCCAGGTTAGGTCAGCCTCGCTGGGTATCGCGGCTGCTGAGGTTACTTGGAGAGGGGTAGGGTGGAATCCTCGGGGGCTGATTTGGTGTAATTGAGAGCGCCGATTCATGATTCAGGCAATGGCTTCGCATGCTGGAGGTAGTGGCGGCGGCGGCGGTGGAAGTGGCCGGGATGCTGGCTCGGCGCAGCGCGGGCCGATGCAGGGGTTGGCGAGGCAAGGGTCGCTGTATGGGCTTACACTCAATGAGGTTCAGAGCCAGTTGGGGGAGCCGTTGCTTAGTATGAACCTTGATGAGCTGCTTAAAAGCGTGTTTCCTGATGGCGCGGACCTTGACGGTGGCGGTGGCGGTGGCGGCATCGCGGGCCAGTCTCAGCCGGCCCTGGGGCTGCAGCGCCAGGGGAGCATCACGATGCCTCCGGAGCTGAGCAAGAAGACGGTGGATGAGGTGTGGAAGGGCATCCAGGATGTGCCGAAGAGGGGTGCTGAGGAGGGTGGCCGGTGGAGGCGGGAGAGGCAGCCGACCCTGGGGGAGATGACGCTTGAGGATTTCCTGGTCAAAGCTGGGGTTGTCACGGATCCGAACGATTTGCCAGGAAACATGGATGTGGTAGGGGGCGCTGCTGCGGCTGCAGCTGGTACGTCTGATTTGAATGCCGGAGCACAGTGGCTACAGCAGTATCACCAGCAGGCTTTGGAGCCCCAGCATCCAAGCATAGGTGCTCCTTACATGGCAACTCACCTGGCACCTCAGCCATTAGCTGTTGCTACAGGTGCTGTTTTGGATCCAATTTACTCCGATGGCCAGATCACTTCGCCAATGCTCGGGGCTCTTTCTGATCCTCAGACACCTGGGCGCAAACGCTGTGCCACAGGGGAGATTGCAGATAAGCTAGTAGAAAGAAGGCAGAAGAGGATGATAAAAAACAGGGAATCAGCTGCCAGGTCAAGAGCGAGGAAGCAGGTATGATTAATCCTTCCTACTTAGAATTTTCTATATATTGTATGCTCTTACTTTGCTTATTATAATTTACTGCTTTCAAACATAAAGGCCTCATGGATTCTTTTTTTTTAATCTCTGGATGTATTAAGTTGGCATTTCTCTTACTCATACAGTATTTAGTCTAATATATCAATATATATGTTATATCTTTCCAAAGCTGTAAGAACATACCAGTTGCAGTAGCATTGGAATGCCATTTTCCCCTTCTTTTATGGATCATGTATATTTATTTCACCGCTGTGTGCATTCTAACTGGCAGGCTTACACTAATGAGCTTGAAAACAAAGTTCTTCGTCTAGAAGAGGAGAATGAGAGGCTAAAGAAGCAGAAGGTACTTTCTCTGCTGTTACCATTGTACTGTTTCTATTTTGTCATTCCTTTAGACAAATGATATTCCACTAAGGACTACTCCCTGTGTTATTATGTTGATATGGCTTTGAAATACTGTTGTTGCACAGTCGACAATTCCTGTTTTATTTTAGCTAGTTATTTTTTTCTCTCGCTATCCACTTGCCACAGTTGTTACACCAACAGGTCCAAAGTGGTAACAGATAACTAGATAAGTGCTATATACTTTTGTAATTGTGTTAGTAATTTCTATTTGATCTGTTTACTTAAGGATTATGCTATGTTCTCCTTATAAATGGCAAATGTACCAGATGTAGTTACTACTATATTTGAACTATGAAACAATCAAATGAGGCTTTGATTTTGACTTGCTATATATGCAAGTGCCTTTGACTTTCTAAGGAGACCTATATGAAGTTCTTGAGGATTTTAATCAACTTATCATGCTACATTATACTCCTATATATCAGCATTAAATATGTGAAACACTAGTATTGTCATCACCAATTTTGCGCATCATTGCAATCTTTTAAAGTGTAAATTTTAAATGTTGCAATGTTGCATACATTAAATCACTGAACACTTAGGTGGGCCTCCTTTTTTTGGTTGCCTTTTATTTATCAATCATGGTAATGATTTATCAACCAAACATGCCTTTTCTAAGATTTTTGCATATGAAACTACTCTGTATATCTGTAGAGCTTTACGGGTTATACATGTGCTGCAATTCCATAGTAATTCACCAAGATGCTTGATTCCCATGCCCTTAACTTTGGGCCTTTTCCCCTTGAACAGAGACTTGATGCTGAACAAAGTCACAAACATCTCTCTGTACTATTAGCATAATAGAATTGATGGCCCGTTGATATTTGACAAACGGTTTTATGACATTCCATTATAGTATTTCTTACAGTTTAGAAACGAAGTGAATCATGCTGCCCTTGTTCTTGAGATTGGGTAAGCAAGACCGGCAATGCCATTTAGCTTATAGCATCTTGTTACTGTTCATTCATGTTGATGTCCCTTATGAGATGATTTTGTCCCCCGCTGTTTCCAGGAGTTGGATGAGATACTGAACTCCGCGCCTCCCCCGGAACCCAAGTATCAACTCAGGCGAACAAGCTCGGCCGCCTTCTGATGGTGACGATGTCCATAGTAAATTTTGTAGATTATATGGGGTCTGCCCACATATTTCGCATCCTTTGGCGGTAGGAACAATCGATATAGCTTGAGATTCCATCTTCCCCCTCCAGCCGGTGGTGGTTTAGAGCTTGTAAACACCAGCACCAGCAGAGCCCTAGCCATGTCGCCCCAGCTGCTGATCTCTTCGGAGGCTTTGTCACTTGTCAGTATGTAAATTCTCCAAGGCACGTGTCGCTGTTAAGTTCTCAGAGCTCCTTGGTTATACATGATTGGGCCCTTTGCCTGTTTCTTGTGGTTGGTTGATACTTAGTACTTGGTTGTGATCAGTGTACTGTGGAGACTTTTGTTATGGCCTGATCAACATCAGTTCCCCTGTTTCGGCTAAGATAACGATGGGTGATAAGTTGACGGCTCACCCATGCAACACATATCGTATGCCTGTCTGGGGGAGCAGAGTTTTAGATTGTGAGAAGTAGCTGATGGGAATCTAGAGCTTTTTGGGTTTAATTTATTTTCTGAATTTTGTAACTACAGTTTCTTAGAATGGAAGTTGGATTGATCGAGAAAGCTGGAGACTTTATGAATAGCTGTAGTTGTTAGAAGCTCCTCCAAACAAACTCTCGCGTGGTAGTCTGTTTCTCGTAATCTGGATGGAAAGTTAGAATGTTTGAGAGTGTTGGAGATTCCAGAAATAGCTGCAGCAGACAGAAGCTCCTCCGATCATTGGAGCTCCAAATCTCGTGGTTTGTGTCGAATTTCGAATGAATTTCACGAGATAATTCCGTGTTTCTGGGGCTCGCATCTCATCATTTCCCCGTGCTTTCCTGCACGTGCAATCATTCGGACAGTTTGGCCCGGAATCATGCATCCATCCATGCGTCATGACTCATGAGTCCTATAGACTACTCGTGCTAGTACAAGGAGGAAGGAGAGCCGAAAGCAGCAGCAGGCTAGGCTGGGTTAGGCTGCTCTGCTTCGCGTCGCATGTGCCGTGCATGGCTCAGGGCACGCTCTGAATCTGATCTGACGAACGGAATGCAATTAGCCATGGCATGGCAAGCGCATGCAGGCTGGCTGTCAAATGGACTAATCCAACTCGCAGCCTCTCACCACATGCCCATCATCACGCCCATCCACTCCTAATCACCTCCACTTCATTACTCACATGGAAGCCGTGTGAGCTTAATTAAGCTCATATAAGCTGAACACTTCACTGCAACAGCCTACATTCATACTGTCCAGCAAAGTGAGCCGCAAGCAGGTCACCAAAGCCATGAGATCTGCCACCATTTGTGTCCTCTGCATTTGCATTCTCATGATCCTGCAATGCTTTGCCAGCATCAGTGCAGTGGATCTTGGCGATGCTGCAGCTTCAGCGTCAGGGGGAGAAGGCCTGATCCGGCCGAGGAAGCTGCTGCAGAATGCGCCGGCGGCGAGGTCACCGCCGTCGCGCTCCGCCGCCGCCGTGGAGGTCGAGGTCAATGCGAGCCTGGGGAAGCAGAAGCCGTCGAGCAAGTCGAATCCCAGGCAGAATTAGAAGCTAAGCTACTATCAGTAGACGACACACGCTCACATGGAGCTCTTCCGAGATGTGGCTGTAGAAATGTACATAGGAATTTTGATGTGGAATTTTAGTTTCTTCCTCGTTTTCCCTTTGCAAGTAGAGTGTTCACCATCAACATCATCAACAGTTCATCACCAGTGATAGTGTAGTTGCTTACAAAATCAGAGGATCTGAATAGGCGAGTTCCCTTCTTTTATGTTGCTGTCTTGATTGCTTCTGCCTCCTTTGGACACCCTTGAATTTTGATGATAGCTTCTAGTTCCTGATGATTAGTTTGGTTTTGCTCATTGTTCCTGTAATTTGGCTTCCGTGTAGATCCTGCCATTTTTTCCATCTTGCCACTTGTTTCCATCTAGATCCAGTAACTTTGTAACATTGTCTGAATAACAAATCATGAGTGCAATATATGGGGTTGGAGGAAATATTTCAAGGTCCTCTGCACTCAACAACTGCCTGTGTTCCTTGAGCACAGGGTTCTTGAAAACAGCTGTTCAAATATCTGATGGAAGAAGCAGGTGAGAGGAACCCATTATTGCAATCAACACAACAATTCCTGGTTCACATTTCACAATCGACTGTTTGATGAAATCCTGAATTCGACCAATCCAAATGGAGCAAAAGGTAAATACTAACATCAACTGAATTAGAATGGGAACGAAGGGTAAGTTGATCCCTATGTGAAGATACATCTACACTACTTTCTAAAATGTTAATCAACGACACATGTTGCTCCTTGTCCATCATGCTGCATGGCTCGCAAACAAATTTTCACCATGGCCTCCGCCCACCGATACGCCTGGCAAGTTGCATGTCCTTTTGCACTGCAGAACAAACGTTTATTTGTTAAACCACACAATGACAACGCTGATAAGCTTTACAGGGAATAGCAAGCAGCATATTTCACACCTCAAAACTCACAAACCAACTAATTCTCCCTATGTTTAATCAATAATCATGATAAATTTAAGAGTATGAAAACTAGATATGACATTAAATATAAACACATGTATTAAGAATCATCCTGCAATTAGAATGTTATTCCTATAAAAAAATAGAATGCTTTTGAAGTGGATGCGTATATGATATCATGTAGGCTGTGGCATATATGATATCCATTTAGCATAATAATATAAAGGGAGAAAAAGAAAGAGAAAAGTTCATTCAGAATGACAACTTACTGATGGTAACACGCTTAGCATGGATGGCGCAGAGATTTGACACTTCAAATATGTCCACTAAGTGGTATTCTGCTGCCTGCAGGAGAGGGAAAACCACTGGAAATTTGCAGGACAGCAAGTAAATAACATAATTTATTTTGTGAGAATTAAGTCAGCTCTTTGTTCCTTTTCCTGGTTATGCAGAAACAGACATGGCTGGAAAGAAGGAACTGAAATTGGTATACTCTATGATAGCAATCTTGAACAGACACAACAAAATAGGGAGGTTGCATATTTGTAGTATATAGGTGTTCTACTGAAAAAGGATAATAATTTAGCAATCTGACTCATAAATCAACACACAGAGATATTCATTTTATTGATCATGGAAGATTTGTACATTTTTCAGTTACACTCTTGAGCCGTGACTTGAGTCTTGAAGCAGAATGGAATTTAAACAGTATAATTCAGTCTGACCCTTCCCTAACTAAGCCATCAGTTGTAAACTTATAATAAACAGGTTTGACCACTGACCTCTTGCAATGCAAGGAGAGCTTCAAGGGTCCACCGTGACACATCCTTTGAATAGAAATCAGTGATCTCCCTGACCTGCAAATTTTATCGGCACAAAAAGCTTCCATCACACAAGTTTGCACTACGAAATATTTGATATAGAGAGAAGGCAGGTTCAGGATGTACCCACCAGCCGAGAAAATGGTGCAAACGGGATCAGCAGTTCGGTGGTTTTCTGAAATTTCCTGATCTCCCGCAGTGCCACTGTGCCTGGACGGAAGCGGTGTGGCTTCCTCTGCTTCGTTTGCTGCCTAGGCGTCCCTGCTTCACACACATGTTAAAGTTATTTAATCACAGGAGAACAAAAGGAGAGCAATTCCAAAGCCAAGACTTCCATATGGATACCTATCATCTAGGTAGAACAGACGCTATTTGAACCATGACACTAAAGAAAGTTTACTAAATCAGTTCCCACGATGCAAAGACTAATAATGGATGAGCATAAAAATCACCTATCAACATCGTGTCTAAAAACCACACATTTCTTGGCTAGCAATGCTTAATACCATGTTTTATGGTCATAATGTTTCAGATAACCCCTCCATGGACCAAACTGGATTTGCTATTATTTCAGAATGAAAACAAGAAAAGCTTTGACTGATGAGCAATTGAAGATCTTTCTGCAACTACTGTTCTTATAATATATTCAGAAAACAACGATGAGGAAAGTACAGCACACGGTAAAACAGAGCAAGAAAAGGGACACATTGAGCCCCTCAGGTCCCCCGGAATCCAAGAGACAGAAAGGAAAAGCTCCAACGAGCCCATGAATAACCCTAGAAACCCCCCCAAGAGAACGCACCTGAAGCCGATGTTCCAGCCGCGCTCCTCTGCATTCCATCAAACAGGTGGTGAGCAAGCCATCCATCCAGCCAAGATACAAAACAAAAACATATCCCCCCACAAAATCAAAAAATCACCAAACGAAAGACCCGCTCCCGCACGCACCGTGGTCGCCGAGGTACCCGTGCCGCCTGCAAAGGGGACAAGCAAGAGGCGGGAAGGGGGGGGGGGGGGCATAAGCTTCACCATCCACCGCCATTGAAAGAAAAAGGAAAAAAAAAAAGAAACGCAGAGGGGGAGAGAGCGCGCGCTCACCACCAGCGCGCTGCGCCTTCGACGGCCGAGGGGAGCGTTCGAACTGGAGCTTCTTCTTGGGCTCCGCCTTCGACTTCCTCACCGCCGGGTGCTTCGTGCGAGCCATCTCGGCGTCGGCGGCGGCGGCGGCGGCGGCGGCGACGTGGCGGTGGGTTTTCAAACTGAAGCGGCGTGGAGGCAAACGGGAGAGGGTTTCTTTTGGTTTTGGGTTGGGGATCCCTTTTTGCGGTTAGGCCCTTGGTTTTGTTGTTATTTATGGGTCAGTCTGTGTCAGTTGCGTTTTTCACATCCCACAAGGCCACAACGCCACGCGCGCGTATGTGTCCAACGGTCGAGTGATCGAGTTATGTTTCTTGTTTTTTTTTCCTTTTTTGCGAAATGGAGTTACGTTTCTTGAATTCTATCCCAGAATAGTCATTTCTTGACATTATTTGACACTGACAGGACTGAAACTAACACTATGCAAAATTTACCAAAAAGAAAAGGATGTCAATGCAACGGTCGAATGAAAGATTGAAGAGGAATGTTTTTTTTTCCTTCAAAACAGGCACTTTCCCCTTTGTTTTGCAGGAATAATTAAACATGAATGCATGGCAAGCTCGGTGTAGGGATGGACATGGCCTGACCCACATTTAATACCTGGACCACTCAAGTTCAATTAAATGAACAAAAATTCACACGACATGGTGGATCAAGGATTATCCACTGGTTAGTTCATGCCATCGAAATAATACTCGACCGACGGAGGAAAGACCGCCCACATGACTTTTTATTAAGAAGCAACCTCAACCAGATCGGCCAACGCGAACCTTGACCTCCACATACGGAACTCACCCCTATGGATCACTAAAGGTGAGTTTGACGATAAGGTGATTGAGGAGATTAGGAAGATACGCAAAAACGAGGTGAGCCATTGGCTCATGATTAATTGAGCATTAACTATTTTAAAGTTCAAAAATGAATTAATATGATTTTTTAAAGTTCACCGTTTAGTAGTTTGGGAAGCATGCATGTGAAAAACGAGATGTTTTTCTCTCTCAATCTCCCAGATCTCCCAGGAACGAACAAAGCCTAACTCCTTAACCGTGCTTCGAGATCCCTACCCCTACACAATTATCCAAAATCCATGCAACATATTTGGCAGTAGCTATCCATTTTTTCTCTTTTTTTGGAAATCAGGTAAATATGTTACCCGGCTTGCTATTCAATTTCACCCAGAATATAGTGAAAATGTGAAATCCGCACCGCTCATAATTTTTTCGGACGAGGTGACAACAGAACAGCTACAGTTTTGCTACCATTTCAGCAGCCGACACAGATGAAAATTTCAGATAAGGCAGCCAGCCATTCGCTGCAGAAGTATTAGCAGTACAGATACTAGTATTTTTCCTGAAGAAATCGATCAATCTGAGAAGCTTCTGCTGCTGCTGCTGCTGCTACTGTGGGCGGAGGGAGGAGAGGAGGACGTCCTGGAGGGCGCTGTCCTTGTTCATGGCGGCCTTGAACTCGTCGAAGGTGACCTTGCCGTCGCTGTCGGCGTCCATCTGGTCGAACACCTCGTCCAGCTTCCCCGGCTCCGTTATGTCGCCTGGCAGGCACTCCTCCGGCAACGCCTTGTGAGGATCACCAAAGTTCAGATGAACAGCAGCTCGTCAGATTTTCAACTCAAAACTTGAAAAGAGACATGAACAAGCCATCTCAAGAAGAGCAAAGATTTGGTTTTCCTTTTTTAGGAGTTCTTACTCGGAGCATTGATGCCAGCTCTTCCTTGCTGATGCAGCCTGACCGATCAGCGTCGTACATCTGAAAAGAAAAATGCAGTTTTTTTTTGTGTGCTCATGATCAGATGCTGAAATACCTCTCTTGTTATGAATTTTAATTGAATTTGAAGTTATGTATGATATGATATCATGCAATGTTTCTGATATTCCTGTACATAAATTGGAAGGGCTGCCACTTCAGTTTGAGTCGAGTGCATTTGGAAATTTTTACCTGGAAGCACAAGCGAAGAGCATCATCGCCTCGTGAGTTCCTGAGGCTGGAGAACCCACACAGGATCTCTCTCATGTCGACGGTTCCATCACGGTTGTTGTCGAACAGATCGAATACGCGGGGAGCTAGGGGAATCAGTGAGTCCATTTTCATTGCTCTCAGCACCTGCTCAAACTCTGACAGAGTGGCGTTTTCTCCATCTGCACATCTGCATAAAGAGCACTTGCTTAGTGTTATACTTTTCGATTGGAACATCATATGTGTCATGTTTAAATCCTAAAACTATGAAGGTTTTACGAGAAATCTGAACTTCTGAAGCTTCTCTGGCAAAGGAAAAAAAGGCTACCGCTTTCTGCTTATAAATCTTTTCGGTGTTAATTTCACAGTTCATCATAGCACATATCTTCTACTCCTAAAATCCTAATAAAATGGGCTGCACATGATATATGATATGTGCAAATATACTCCTGCAAAATTGGGACTTCTTCAGTGTTGGAAAAAAAAACATTTGTTTTCAGAGAAGACAAGGATATATGACTCCCCCTTAAAGCAACTGTAGTGTTCCTCAAATTACTAACTGAGAAATGCTAGTCCCAAAATTCTAGTAATTACACAAGAGGTTTTAGGCTGATCAAGTCATGATACTCACATTCGTCCAAAATGAAGCCGCAGATTATCCAGCTCCTCTGAGGTAAGGTCATGGGTTCCTAAAAGATTTCTCAGCCTTTTAGTCCTCAATGCCACTTTGCAGCTCAAAACGCTGGCTATCGCAGCTGCCCGCAATTTCCTTCTAGCATTGAACTTTTGCAGTTTTGAGACGACCTCTGCATCCATGAGATCTTGCTTGGCGCAGTCTCCAATCACCCAAGGATGCCTCAGAAGCTGGTTTCAAATGACACATGATATTCAAATTAAGAACAGTTATAGTATCTTAGCTAACATGGTAATATGCTGAAAAGGGAGCATATGAGACAGACATCACTTGCTGTTGGCCTTTTGTAAGGTTGAACAGAAAGAAGGCGCGAAATCAAATCTTTCGCGGATGAAGATATTGTTTTCCATGTGTGGTCCTGAAAACTGAATTCACCCTGAAGAAGCACACAAATTATATGCCATTAGAGCAAGTTCCTGATTAATACAGGCATTTTCGAATAATTGGTGCCTAACACAAGGACTACAAATCCTCCTCTTATAGTCATGTTATTCAAAGGCACTATTGATAATGGAACCCATAATTCTTCAGAAACAAACGGCACAGTTTATTTATTTTTTCAGTGGTTTACTGAACAACATTTGACTAGCCCAGTAGCCCCATATCCATACTGACTCAGTTCGTGTTTTTCATTGGAAAATGTACAATCCAATCCATGTGTCTTTTGTGGAAGAGAACATTCTTTTACACCTTTTCAGTAAAATGTAAGGTCTAGTTAGCTACTGGCCAACTGCTATTGATTTGACATCTCAGGGCAACTTTTTCTACTAGAACTGGACAAAATATAGGACAATGCAGGTATAAACTGAAGTGCTAACAACTACCAAAAGACGACATTTCAGCAATGATTGGCAGGCAGATCTCCAAACTATGCAATGTCATTTGCTGCAAACCCACTGATAAAAGGCTAACAACTTCACACTCATGCTGAAATTTTAGAGTGAATCAAATGCCCAACACATAATTTGGGACTGGAAAACCGTATGGCCGACTCACACTCGAGGTCAGCTACATGTAACTCTCACCAAAATTCCATTTTTTGCAAGAAAAACACCCTCACATTCACGGGCCAGAATTATAATAATTCTGCTTCATTAGAAAATGCAAAGATACTTATAAATCATCTTGATCAGAATACTTATAATGATTCTGCTTCCACTAAAATTGCCCGAAGTGTTTAATAGGTATCGTCAAATGCGAACCAGAATATTCCAAACCATTTTGAACACCATTGAAGCAACAATTTGACCAGAGTTAGCTCAGGAAACTTACTTGCAGGATCCTTTGCTGCTTTTCTCGATTGGTTGCAGCATGAAATGGTGGGCATCTGAAATACACAAACTACCAGGCTTAAAACTACGAAAATAATCCTAATCAAGGGAACTATAACAAGAAAATGGCCAACATACCCAGATAAAAGAATGTACAGAATTACCCCAACAGACCACATATCACTAGCAGCTGAAACCTCCTGCCTGGATAGAGCCTCCGGTGAAACATAATCTATTGACCCAAACAGCGCGACGATTGGGTCACTGAAATCTTCGACAGAACTCAAACCAAAATCCATGATCTTCAGTGTGGACTTCTCATCTTTGTCAGAGAACAGACAATTCTCCGGCTTCAGGTCCCTGTGTACAATGCTTGCCTTATGAAGAGCCTCCAGCCCGCTAGCAATCTGACGAATGACGCAGGCCGCATCGAACTCCGAGTACCGGTCACGCCCCACAATCCGATCAAAAAGCTCACCACCCGAGCACAGCTCAAGGACGAGGTGCACACCATGCACATCTTCATACACATCATGCAGGTTGATGACATTAGGATGTGGCGCAACGCTCTCCACTATCCTCCTCATGACGAGTATCTCGTTCGTCAGCAGCGCGTCGGAGATCGATACCTGTTTCCACATCGGCAGGCCGGAGCCGGGCACGGGCTTTGTCCCCTGCTTCATACCCGCCATCGCCGGGCCGAGCCTCCTCAGAGTCTTGATGGCAACCTGGGTCTTCTCTTCAGACTTGCTCACTCCCCTCCTTACTATTGAGAACCCGCCCCGGCCAAGAACATCCACAACTTCATAGTCATCGGACAACTTTCTGCTCTCAGTCTTGGACATTATGGACTTCGACTGCCTGCTCTGAAGAACTTGATAAATTGAGGAACCGAATAACAAGACTCAATTGGCAGTAATCCAGTAGCAAAGCTGTGTCCTGAAAGAAGTAATCAGTAGCGCAGGAAGAACAAATGAATCATATGGGTATCTGCAGGAAGTAGGAGAAAGAGAATTTGGGGAACAGCAGAGCACAAACTGGAAGGAGCAGTTAGGAGTACAAAGCAAGCTCCTTCTCCTGAAGACCTGATCAGTAAACAAAACAATATGAGAGAGCATTATATAGAGTAATGTGAGTACTGAAGGTTGTGACGATGGAAGAAAGGGACATGTGCAACAACCAACACAAGGGAATAAACCCTATCAAGGATTTCTTTTTGTGCAGAGAACAAGGTGACAAGAAGAGAGAAATGAGATGATTGGAAGAAGATGACAGGCCAAAATAGTTTTTGTTGACCTGGTTGCCACTGCTTGGAGCTGCTCTGAATTGGTCTTCACTCGGTGAGGCCTAACTGTAGTTTACTGCTTTGTCTTAGACAGTTGTAAGCACAATTCCACTGTAGCTGACAACATCATAAACATGGAAGGTAAGCTCTCCTCATGCAAATTAACACAAGATGTAAATTGGCCAGGTATGGTCTGGTCAAACGGCTGGAGAGGAACAAATGAATCATTTTGATAGACATTTGTGCCATACAAATTGACAAATCTTCACTCTGGCATGAGTTTCCTCTTTCCAACTTAACCATTCATCATAGAAATCGATAAGGAAACCAAAATTGCAGAGGCAAATGTAAAAACAAAAAGATTATATGGCTCATGAAATTACAATATGTAAGCAAAACTTCCATAGAACCATATGTTACCACTGTGACAATAACGGGTTCACAGCTCCAGATATATCATGAATGCCCTAAACAGATGCTTCCACAAGGACAACGCCCAGACAAAAATGCATCACATAAACAAAAAAATAATAATTTTCTAGATGAACTATGCCGAATCTCCAAAGCTCAATGGCTCTTGTGACGCTTAGGGTTTATCTTTCCATAGGCTGCTTGCCTTTCGGTGGTCATCTTCAACTCCCTCCTCCTACGCTTCCTTCGTTCACTTCTGGTTGATTTTGCCTTGCCATCTGCATCCCCCTGTTCATTCGGCAGCTCCTTCTCTGGTTCTGATGAAGCAGGGCCTTCCTCAGACTTAGACTTCTTCTTTTTGACCTTCTTGCCTTCTTTATCCTGTCCTCCAAGGATCGAATCCTTGATCAGTTTCTTATGATGCGTCACCTTCCATTCTGCCTCCCTGTAAGGAGCTATCTTCTTCATGGATACATACTGGTTCAAATCCTTGTCATCTGATGCCAATATCTCATAGGTGCTCAGGCCGAAACTGTTCGGCTTAACTTGCTTATACTTGAACCTAGTCTTCAGATCTCCAATAGTGTCCTCATAGTCTAACTTGTAGTACTCTTCCATCTCCTTCTCAAGCTCCACCTTGTCCTTCAAAGAAATTTTTCCTTTCATTTTCTGATTTGTCCCCTCACCATTTGCAATATCTTTTCCACCTTTCTTTTTCTGAGAAGCCCCCTCAGCTGCTGCAGACGATCCATCTTGCCCATCAAGAGCCCAGTCCTTGGGTAGCCCAAGCAGTTCATCTTCTTTGTCAAAGTCTGGTTTTTCCAAATCAATTTCCTCACCACTCCCAAATTCAGGATCAACATCATCTGCTTCATAGTAATTGTCATTGAATGTCTCCTTCATTTTCCTGTCATACTCCTCAGGATCAAAATCCTCCTCCAAGTCATCGGCTCCGAGCTTGCAAGCTGCATCGCTATCAATTCCGGCAATCATCCGGATCCTCTCAAGCTTCTCGGCGATCTCTTTCTTCTTCAAGTTCTTCAAATGCTTCAACTCCTCTGCCTGCTCCTGCTTGGCCCGTGCTATCCGCTCCTCCTTGTTCTTGCGCTGCTGCTTCCTGCTGCTCTCCTTCTTCCTCACAGACCCCTCGACAAACCGCGAATGCCCCATCACCCTGTCCATTACATCCGCACCAGTCGCGGCTGCTTCCTCATGCCGGAAGTTATACCTGGTCTCATAATCCTCCTGCTCTATGAGATGCTCCTCTTCGTCCGATACCTCCTGGATATCATCCGGAGAGTATTTCTTCTCGCTGCCCGTCTCGAGATACGGCCTCTCGAGGAAGAATTTCTTCAGGAACTTGCTGTTCTCGTCCAGCTCCTCGTCTTTGCCGAAAATATCAATCAGTATCTGCTCAGTCTCCTTCTTCTCCTCGTCATCATCCTCCTTGTTACCACCATCTCCACCCTTCGGCTTCACTTGGAACAAATCGTCATCATCCTCGCCGCCATCGCCATCGCCATTGCCTAATGCCGCCTTCTCCGCCGCAAGGAAAGCCTCCAGCCCCTTCCTCTGCTGCTCGTCGTAGGCGATCTTGTCGTACTTGCTGCTGCTGTGGCCGCCATGGCTAGCCTGCGCCGCGAACTCGGGGCCCTCCTCGAGCAGGTGGCGAGCGTTCACGTCCTTGAGGTACAGGGGCCGCTCCTTCTTCGTCTTCTTGGGCTTCTCCCCCTCCTCGTCGCCGGGTTCACTCTCCGACGAGGAGGAATACATCTTGGCCTTCGCGTCGAGGATGGCGGCGTCGCCGCGCCGGATGCGGCGGATGACCTCGAACATCTGGCGGTCGACGCGGCGGGACGCGATGGCGGCGTCATCGTCGTCCGACAAGGACTCGTCGTCGTCGTCGTCCTCCTCCTCCTCCTCCTCCGGCGGGACGAGGCCCTTCTTCTTGCGCTCCTCCAGGCGCTGCAGCGCCTCCCGCCGCTTGTTGTGCTCGAAGCGGCGGGCGTACTCCTCGTTGATCTGGATCTTGGAGAGATCCTCCTCGCCGCCGCCTCCATCGGACTCATTGTCGGAGCCCGCGAGGATGTCCTTCTTCTTCTTCTCCTCCTCCCTCCTCTGCTTCATGGCTGCCGCTGCAGTGGCGACGGCGACGACGGCGGCGGCGAAGCTGGGGGTAATTAGGGTTTTCGCGAATCGAGAGGAGCAAACCAATATTAAAGGAGGCAAATGACATATGGGTCCCACCTTTACTGAAGGCCCATCTGTGAATTTTACGGCCCAAGAGGACGGAGGCCCAGGGGCAAACGCGTAATTTCGGCAGCGAGGCGGCACCTATATACACCGCGTCGAGCTAAACCCTAACCAGCCGCCCATTCGCGCCGCCGCCGCAGAAGCCACCGCGCCCCGCAGCTCTCGTCGTCGTCGCCGCGGCCGCTCGATCACGATGGCTCCCACCAAGAAGGCGGTAAGGTTCCTGATCGATTGCGCCTCCCTCCCCCTCCTCGTCGCGCTCTCCCGCTGCGCATCTCACCATTTCGTTGCGATGTTTTTGCTGGTTTCTGATTGGTGGGTTGTGGCGATGATGCAGAAGAAGAGCACGGACAACATCAACAACAAGCTGCAGCTGGTGATGAAGAGCGGCAAGTACACGCTCGGCTACAAGACCGTCCTCAAGACGCTGCGCAACTCCAAGGGTATCGATCCCGACCGATTTTTTGTTGTTTTGTTCGATCTGGTAGTGTTAGTGGATGTTGATTGATTAGTTTGCTCGCTTAATCCGAATTGTAGGGTAGGTGGGAGTGTTATGATTGATTGATGCGTTGCTAGCTAATCATAGTCTGCCTATAGATCTGCGTGTTAGTTTGTGCGATAATTTTCGGGTAGATTGGACTGTCTTATGTTTATTTATGGGTGGAATTGTTGTAAATCCTTTGGAAGTTGATCGGCTGTAAATTTAAGTTTAGATGGATTGTGGTTGCAATTATTTGGGATGCGTTGTGAATTGAGTTGCATTGCGGTTGTCTTGAATGAATGGGACTGAAGTTTACCTCTTTGGCTTGCTTTTGCGGTGTCTTAGAGATGAATACAGTACCCTATAACAATACCAACCTCTTAGTTAATAGTTCTCCATGATCTCCATTAGTCTGGGGACAACTGGAGGTTGAAACATTTGTTGTTTATGGAGCATAGATCATGTTATATAGTGTGATGTCTGAAATGGTTTTATCGATTTTATATGTTCTCAGTTACCTGCTTACACATGACATATTCTTTTTTTCTGTTGTACATATGTGCAAAATACGGTGCATTTAACTCAGGCTGTATTTGTATTTTGATGTGTGGTCCTTGTTATTGTGTTTGTTGCTTGTTGATATTAGTTAAGAAAGTTAAATGCAAACTTCCCTTGAACTTAAATTTCTCGAGTTGAATGAATTTGCAGTTATAACATGTAGGAAATTTCAGATAGGTTGTGTTGTGGTTTCTGATTGTGACATCAATCACATCTTTTTTATGTTTAGGGAAGCTGATTATCCTTGCAAACAACTGCCCTCCACTCAGGAAGTCTGAGATTGAGTATTACGCCATGTTGGGAAAAGTTAGCGTTCACCATTTCCATGGAAGTAAGTTTGTTTCATCCTTCCGAACCATTTATGTTTTGTGTGATAGCATCTGTATTCATCTACATGTCACGGTTTTTCCGTGATATAGTTTGGTACTGTATGTCTTACTGTGCCTTCGCTTTCAGACAATGTTGATCTTGGAACTGCCTGCGGCAAGTACTACCGGGTGTGCTGCCTCAGCATCATCGACCCTGGTTCGTCGCTACCGACATCACTTACATATATTTTCCTCTATGGCACCCTCAGAAGTACTGAATATATTTGCCTCTTTCCCTGTTTCAGGTGACTCGGACATCATCAACACAACCCCTGCCTCCCAGTGAAGAAGTTTTTACCTATTTAGTTGAGATGTAGGGTTCAGACGTGCTTACATGGCCAATGGCTGTTTCTTGGTTATCTTTAGTTGTGTAATTTTGCTATGCTGAGTTGGGATCTGCCATACAGATAATACTCCATATTGTTGTTAAGGCATTTCTATGGTTTTGTTTGATGAGATCTCTATTTATATATTGAGCAAGTTTATTCTCCTGCTGTTCTGTGAGCATCAGCAAAGAGAGCATCATCCAAGATGTTTGCTTCCTTGCTTATGTGGTTCAAAAGCTAGACTATGGTTGTTAACTATCTCGAAGCTTCGAATCACTTGCTTTGTTTTTTATCCATGGTGTGATTCGCTGATTGCCGTTTTGGTTTCTGCTCCTGGAGAATCTGGAAACGTAGTGTGGCTTCCACGTTTGCTTGTCGATTTGATTATCGCCGTTTAGCAGCTGCTGTTTTGTTTATGCTTTTCTATATTCCGTGACGTAATAATGCCTATCTCCCAGATTGTAAGGTTCATCCGTTTGTGATACGAGCGTACTTAATGCTAGGAGTACGTGTGTATTTATTAGGTTAATTTAAGTGAGTTTCTATATATTGTTGTAGTGTTAGAAGTGCATCTAACAAAACTAATTTTGTGAAACATTTTTTGTTTGAACAAGGCACGTGTTTACTGATAAGTTGATGTGAGCAGGTCAACACCATCTAATTGGGCACACAGATTAGCTATCACGGGATTAGTAATTTTGTACTACTAGTGTGCCGTAGTTGGTAGTATCATGGGCTCATAGTGGTCTTCCCTATTAACTAAGGGTCTATTCACTTTGCTACCATTTTCAACCTTACCAAATTATAGTATTGTCAAATTTTAGCAAGGTTGCCAAAATTTTGGCAAGGTTGTCAAATTTTGACAAGATTTTATATGTGCTTAGTAAAATTTAGGAACAAACTAAATGTAGCAACTTTTTTTTTAACTTTGCCAAAACTTGATAAGATTGAAAATGGTAGCAAACTGAACAAGCCATAATCGTGGACCAAAGAAAGGAAACAAATGTTGACCATCACGGAAGGTTCTAGGGGCCAGCAGAATCCACACCTGGCACAGTATTATGCCATTTCATTAACATGGTTTGGTTACCTACAAAATTCACATTCCCAAAACCAAAACATAAATATAGCACAAAAAATTGACAAATTTTATGGAATATATGAAGTAGAGCAACCATTATACGAGTTTAATTGCCATAATAATACGCAATACCCAAATATAGCGGCTCCCTAATCTCCTCTCATAATTGCCGGTGCGTGATGCGGGAGTTGGTTCGACCAGCCCAACCGCTTCCCACCCGAACCCGACCTGCCACGTCGGACCAAGTCCAACGCATTTCCGCCCCCTCCACCCAATCCCGCGCCGCCACGTGTCCCCGAGTGCGCGAGAAATTTGTCCTAAATCCCACCATTACCGCGGCCGCTTTCACATCTCCTCCTCCTCGTAATCATCTTCTCTTCTCTCTTCCCCGGCGGCGACGCGGCGGCGCCGGTCAAACCACTCCTCGCCGGCGAGGGGAGCGCGGATCGGGCTCGGGAGGAGGCTAGGGGTTTGGCTCGCTCGCTCGCTTTCGGCGTGCAGCTGAGGCGGTGGACTTGGCGGCTGTGGCGGAGGTGGGGAGGTGGAGGTGGAGGGGAGATGGAGGGGTTCCTGCAGAAGCTGAAGGGGCTGGACGCGTACCCCAAGGTGAACGAGGACTTCTACAAGCGGACGCTCTCCGGCGGCGTCGTCACGGTCGTCGCCTCCGTCGTCATGCTGCTGCTGTTCGTCTCCGAGACCCGTAAGTGTGTGTGCGCGAAGCAGCCGCCGCCGCGCGGATGTTGTGTGCTGTTCGCGTACTCTCCCATCCGTGGCCGTAATGGCTCGATGTGGTTTGGAATTCGAGGAGTTGGTTCTTGCCAACAAGATCAAAGTCGGATTTCGAGTTGTCGATGGGGATGGGGATTTAGAGTAAGATTTGAATTCAATGATGCGGTGGGCGTGTTCCTGCTGCTGCTGCATGCTTGAATGTTTGGAATATTTCCAGGGGCACCTGACCGCGCTCTTGGTAATTTCTAGAAGAAGGTGCCCTTTTAGGTAGACAGGTTTTGCGGTGTGTCAGGGTAACGAACTAAAGATGGGCATGTTGCGATGGGCATTGACGCTAATGGTGATGTATGCTGCGCGCGATTTTTCTTTTCTTTTTCTTTTTCCTTTTCGGGTGTGAGATTCCTGAAAAGTTCAGGAATGCTTTTGGCTGAGTTCCTGCGTCTCTGAGGAAGATAAATTAGTTTATTTTTTTCTGCTATTACTTGGATTTATGTGCTGCTATCACTGTTGGTTCGTGAAGGGTAAGTTTTTGTGTTGTTGGCTCTGCATGTTGGATCATGCGTGCAAAATTAGGTCGTCACAAGGATTATGCCGTTTTCAAGTTACCTTTTGAGTAAAGTCTGTTGTTGCAAAGGTTCTGTTTTATTTGGCCAGCATGGCCTTACATTACTTTGGAGTTTGGAGAACAAGAGGTTACAAGTTGTCGAATTTTTATGCTCTTTTTGTTTGGTGCAATTTGTTAGTGTTTATTTTTTTAAAAAAATTCTGGTAGTGAGAAGGTTCTTTCATAAAATGTTTTTGCAGGGTCATATTTTTATTCAGCAACAGAGACTAAGCTAGTGGTTGACACATCAAGAGGGGAAAGGCTACGAGTTAATGTTAGTATTTATTTGATTGTTAAACTAGATTCATGTCATATGTTGTACTTCTATTGTTTCTAGTATAAAATGCATACTCTTTTGTATGCTATTCACTTACAATCTGTTGGGAACTAGGTGTGAATATTTCCTGTTAACTTCTAATGCTAAAACTGTTTTGCAGTTTGACGTAACTTTTCCGAGTGTTCCCTGCACCCTTCTCAGTGTTGATACCATGGATATTAGTGGAGAGCAGCATCATGACATTGTACGCACTTATGCTATATCATCTTCTAATTCTTAGTATGTGTTGATTTGTCCATCTTATTATTCCATTGTTTGTTGTAGAGGCATGATATAGAAAAGAGGCGATTAGACGCACATGGTAATGTCATTGAGGCTAGAAAAGAAGGCATTGGTGGAGCAAAGGTTGGTGATCACTGCTTTAGTTACACTTTGAGGTTGAGCTCATTAATAAACTAAGTGATTCCCCGCGCTTTGCTGCGGGAATTACCAAACAATTCTCAATATATATTTTTCGACAATCAAGATAGCAGTAAAAAGGAAAAAAATAATGAAACATCAGGGTTTATCGGTACTTATCATGAAACAAACAAATGATATCCGCGCTTTAATGTGAAACATATAACATATTATAAAAATGATAGATAGATTTGTTAAACTATTGTGCAAATGATGTGAGGGGTGGTGATTAGATATGCTTGCATGTTGATTTGTAGAATTAAATAAATTGCAGATGATGTTGTATGCTTGCATGTCTTAAATATGTAATAATTGCTAGTGGGTGATGATGTGACATTGTTGCATGTTGAGCTTTAGACTTAGTGAGCTATAACTTTATAGAAAGTATAGATTTAAAATATCGAACTAGAGTCGTCTGTACAAATTATTCTTGGTGACCTAGTATATTTCCCTACGATGTACAGCATTGTAGTTGTTGGAAAACAAGTGGAAATTTAAGTACTTAAATATTTTTATTGTCAATACCTTATTTTTTACATGAGGACATAACGTGAGCATAGCATGTATAATATTACAGATTAGAATATAACCGTTTGTGGACTGTCCATATGCTGAAAACATACTCCAGTATCCACTTAAAACATTTCCTTCTTGCTGCCTTGTATAGATAGAGAGTCCATTGCAAAAACATGGAGGAAGACTCAGCAAAGGTGAAGAATACTGTGGCACGTGTTATGGTGCTGAGGAGGTATGCACAATCTTTTCTAATGGGAATGTATTTTGTTTATACCTCTTATTATTTCAGCTTTCTGAACTTACCTTGTTCTTTGTTACATTCTAACTCCGGATGGCTTTCTGGACTTCAGTCGGATGAACAATGCTGTAATTCTTGTGAAGAAGTTAGGGAAGCATATAAGAAGAAAGGATGGGCCCTTACAAATCCTGATCTGATTGACCAGGTATATTAGTTATTTTGGCATGGTTTACCTAGATATATCCATTGTTTAGATTTCCGTTGAGTTCTCTTGGGCTTAGTTTAAGTTTGGAAAATATATGTATGGCAAATAATGTTGAAGATTGCAAGATAATTAATATAGTCTATATAGAGGTAGTATCTCTTAAGAAGCCACTATTACTGGAAGTCCCTGAGAAATGATTTTATTCCTCAGTCCCATATCTGCCTTGTTTCTCTCCACTAACCAATTAGAACAACAAAAATGGCCTACTCCTGACGTAGTGGCATACCGTATAGTTAGATGCCTGTTGCGCGTATACTCTAGCCTTTCTATACTAGTATACTTGTGTCTAGTGACAAGCTAGTGTGGCACACCTCTCTTTCATGCTTTTGCTTTGCAAGGCAGGGCTCATTTATGAGTGAAAAGAGTGAGGCGACGTCATTTCTCCTACTATTTACTGGAACTTCCGCCCTACTGATTTGTTTTCCTTGGGCATGACAGTGCACCAGAGAAGATTTTGTGGAAAGAGTTAAAACTCAACAAGGTGAAGGTTGTAATGTACATGGCTTTTTAGATGTCAGCAAAGTTGCAGGGAACTTACACTTTGCTCCAGGCAAAGGATTTTATGAGTCAAATATAAATGTGCCTGAGCTGTCGGCACTTGAGCATGGTTTCAACGTAAGTAGGTCCAATAAATGTTCCTTTTCCTTAAAAGTGTTTTTATTCAGTGTTTCTGATATGTTTGTGTATAATTTTACCAGATCACACACAAAATAAATAAACTGTCTTTTGGGACAGAATTCCCTGGTGTTGTTAATCCACTTGATGGGTACGTCCATAGCTCTAGCTCATTGAGCATATAATTATAGCCTTGCACTTATTCTCCTAGTTATATATTTCTTTTTTCAATTTTTATCTTTGTACCCTCATGTCCTAACAAATTTCATGAACGTCAGTGCTCAGTGGACACAACCAGCATCAGATGGGACATACCAATACTTCATAAAAGTGAGCTCTTGTTATCCATGTTTACGTGCTTACATTTGTATCAGTTGTTTCTGCTACAAACCATCATTTGAAAAGAAACTTACTGGGTTTTGCTTAACCAGGTTGTTCCTACAATTTACACTGATCTAAGAGGGCGCAAGATTCATTCCAACCAAGTTAGTGAAGTTTATTGAATCATGTTTATACTTTATATTTTTTTTCCAAGCCTAGTGATCTTATTGTTACTTGCATTCACAGTTCTCAGTAACAGAGCATTTTAGAGATGGGAATATTCGCCCCAAACCCCAGCCTGGAGTATTTTTCTTCTATGATTTCTCACCCATAAAGGTAGTAACAATGGAGAGAAATTCGTATGTAGTCATGTTCATTTTTCTCTTTTTATGATTCTATCTTAGCTTGCTCTACTCATCTTCTCAACCTGTGGATATGTGTTGCCAAGCTCATCTGTTGAATGGCTGGCTGTGTTGGTGTGACCATTCTTGCTGCACATGCAGAATGCTCCAAATTCACCATCTGTTATTATTCAGTACTATTTAATTACTTTGGACACAAGAGAAGTCTACAATACCTTTGTTTCACCTTTATCTATTCTGACACTGCAGGACCAAACTGGAATTTGTAGGCTTTAGGTCATGGAGAGTTTCTAAAGTTAGTTATTATACTAGTCAGTAGCTAAAAGAATCAGTTCATTGATGAGATATATCTGTTAGGAGTATCCTAGCATAAAATTTGGTATTATCCTTTTATTATTTTTATTATTTGCTGAATGGCTCCAAAAATGTCTGCATATGCATCGTAACACTTTGAATACAAAATTGACAGTGCATGTCTATACTCATTCAAAAGCCTCTAGTGGTGGTGGCAGGGAATTTGCCACCCCACTATTGCTTTTTGCAGTTTTTACAAATTGTCCCCTGATATTTTTCTAATATTGTGGAATAGTTCAATATTTGGTTCAAACAAGTGAATAGCAGATAATGAAATAAACAAACAATTGATACTAAGATATTTGATAAAATATATATTTTTCTTACATATTATGATATTGTTTTTCTTCTGCCCATAGCAAAGCTTGGGCATTTTGCTAGTACTCAAAAGTCAAAACTTATACATGTGGATAACATACAGTTTCGTATCAATATAACGATTAACTAATTCTCATATTCTCTTATCAGATTGAAAGGTACTCCTTTTAAGTTTTAACTCTTTAGTTCTGTGACCCACTAAAATCTTAGTTCTCCACCTTATGTTTTTGCAGGTAATATTTACAGAAGAAAATAGTTCCCTGCTCCACTATCTGACGAACCTATGTGCTATAGTGGGAGGTATTAGCATTACCTCTATTTTATTCTCAAACTGATTAATCTTTTTTATTCTATTGTAGTGAATGAGTGTTATCTCTTCAGTCTTCACTAACAAATTCTTATAATTCTTATACATTTCACCGAAAACTCCAATGCTTATTTGACAAAGTTTATAATTAGTTTGTTACTATTTGCCTAAGTGATGAACCGTTGAAGGAATTGGCTCTGTTTATCTATGTGCCTGTGTATAAGTAATGTAGCAAACCTAGTATGGATGCAAGTCACTAAACTTTTGTCTGCCTTGTATCCTCAGGGGTTTTCACCGTCTCCGGCATCATTGACTCGTTCATATATCACGGGCAGAAGGCACTCAAGAAAAAAATGGAGCTAGGCAAGTACAGATGATTTACCTGAAACATGGACTGGCCCTCATGTTCCCCAAGTTCCCAAGTTCCGTGGCTTGTAAAGGATCCATTGCTTAAGACCTGAAGACGTTGCTTTGCTGGAAGGTTTTGCTAAGGCCATCAGAATTGACGATATTGCACATTAGTTGATCAAAAACTCGTTTACATGTAAAAAAAGACAATATCATAGCGTTGGGCCTGGGGGAGTGCTTTGATGTCTCAGTGAGACTCTTTTTGAGTGGCCAAAACTGGCGAAATGAGATGGATAGATTAAATCAATTTTACCACTGCGTGTGCCATCTAACACTGTTTGACGTTTTCTGTATTTCTTTTCAGGAAGAACTAGAACTTACATTTTTTTTGTTCTTTTTTTTTGCTTCATCTGAGTGCATTAGTAGAGATATAACCCATTTCTTGTAACTTCAGGGTGTTCAAAGAGACAATTTGATCATTTTCGTGTCACGTCCTTCTGCCATCGTTTGACGCTTGCAATTTATTCAGGAAGAACTAGAAATTGCAGTTTTGCTTCTCTGTGAGCATTAGTAGAGATACAAACCATTTTTAAATAGTATATATATATTGTGGTTATTTGCCAAGTTGTTCGATATACAAAGGATTTGAATCTCTAATCAACGAGTGAGTTGACCTAGTTCCTATTAAACTACATACTTGATCAGATACGTCACGATTAATTAACTATCATGTTCTTAGTTTAAGTAAGAAGATAGAATTAGGGAGTATATTACGATTAAATTATTGTTAATCTGATTCACCTTGTACTTTCATCAGGTCATATGCACAATCCAAATCTCTAGAGTTCAATGGATAAGAAGAACAAATCAGAACTCGCATCGACTGATCTGCACATGAACCCTCATCAGAATGGTCAATGAAGAGATTGCGTGGCCACGAGGTTACAACATAATATTTATCATATAAAGATTTCACTGCAATTGGTGAATCTTTAGTAATTTGATCCATAGGCGAAGTTTCTCCTATAATCTCCAGCTTTCTTCATGGAACTGCAGTTTGCTGCTGATATACAGGAGAGTAAAACCAACTTAATCTACCAAGGCAAGTGCCTGTAAAAGAAAAAAAAAGATGTCTTAAACAAAAAGTACATTGAATGAAGGGTAACAAAGCAATTGTAGAGTGATGTGAGTTTGTCTTTTAGGTTTGTTTTTCAGGAAGCTACGAATTTAGTCCTAAGATAAACTTTTGATCCTTTGGGAGCCCTTTCCTAGGTTGGGTTACCCTACAGAATGGTCTAAATTCTAGGCTGTTTGAACCAACCTTCTGCTGGAAAGCAGCTTTCTGGAAGCTCAAAGATTTGCATAAATAATTTTTTTTTCAGGAAGTTCATGCTTGCTGCTTTCTACATGTACTATTTGGTTCAAAATGATATTTACTTTAAAAACAATGCAATGATTTGCTTTGTTTTATACTCAATTTTAATTTACGGAAAATCACAAAAGAAACAAAGGGGGCAAACGGTAAACTAAACTGCAACCCAAAAGGACACCCACCATTCTATGATTTGACCCAAGAACATTTCAGTTATAGTTAGCTGGGGACTTTTTTTTTTCAGAATTGAAATTTAAGTGCTTCTGCATACGCATCTGGGTAACTGGGTTGTTTTGGCAAGAAATTTAGTGGCAATGTGGTAGCTAATTTGTTAATCCAAAATTATCATGAACTTCATCTCTACTTTGTCTTGTGACTAACCATTGCTGGTCAAAGATGGAAATACATGCAGTTCCAACTTCCAAGTTTCATGTGGTCAGTAGTGAGGACTTACATGGAAGAAACCTCTCAACTTCCAAAGCTCAAGTTGATGTATGGTGGTGTTTGGTTGGAGGAACTAAAGTGGGGCTAAACTTTAGTCCCTCTCACAAAAGCATAAGTCTCTATGGTAGGGACTTATGTTTTTGTGAGAGGGACTAAATTTAGTCCCTAGTTCCCAAACACCCCCTATATTTCACCATTAATCTGCATAAACTAAATCGCACTCTGAGCATACCAGATCAATCATACACCAGCTATTTGTTTTATTTTCGAAGAACCTCTTAATCCATCAGTCCATACATGCAAATCACTATTAGCAAATTTAATAGCCCATGAGAAAAAAAATTTGCAACTTGAAGTGCATTAATTGTATAAGTAGTTAACGCGCAAATGTACAATGTATAAGTAGTTAACATGCTCTAGAGTTGAGACAGCAAACATGGACATTATCCAAAGATTCCCCATACTCCCAATCGTTCTTAGCTTAGTATTCGAAAGTACAAATGCCAGCTAAGTTCAAATGCAAATAATGTAGAAGGAATTACTTTAGAGGCCCACCTTATGAGTGACCCTATGAAAGATCTGAAACTTTAAAATCTCTTAATTATTCATAGCAAGAATGAGCAAATTGTTGCTGTTGTGTCCAATAATGGATGTCCTAAGTTGACGTCTTCTGAAGCCTTCTTGTAAGAACTGCCAGTTCCTTTTTTTTTTTTTGTGTGTGTGTGTGTGTTTCTAGTTTACAAGAACCTATCATGGCCCAAATCTCATGGAGATAGGACTGGATCTATATCTTGCCCTTAACATCAAGGATTAATCCTGAACTGTAATTTTTAACAAGGCGGTAAGATAGATAAAAATATTAGAGAATATCTGCCCATGTAGCCAAAAGAGATAAGATTGGCACTAAGTATAGTGCTAATCCACTGGCAAAGTCAACTTCAGAAAAGAAACCTCACAAATGTAACAGGAATCAGCATATATTAAAGTATTAAACACACCAAAATGAACACGCAAATCAAAAATATAATGGCAGCTGATATCCTGCAGAAATTGTCAGCATCAGATTGGTCGTTTTCATTTCACAATCCCAAAATGAATGTCATGTACATGGAAGAAGAATCTGGCCGTCTCTTTTTCAAGGCTAACAGCAACCTCCGTGTATGGAAACTTCTTCCAACCATTTTCCTGGCAGCGCAAGAATAAGTTGTAAATGAATTAGTTTATTTTATCCATAAAGTGGTAAGAACATATATGCGGAGCATTTTGAGTGCAATGCAACATCTCTGTCTCAACATGCAGATCCAAGAGGATAAACACAAGACTCATTGGCAAGAGGACACTGAGAAAAAATGGATATCTCATATGTATAGTATTTATTGATGTTATAATAGTTAAGAATTGCCATTTCAGGCATCATCCTTCGCAGAAATAAAATAAAGACTAGTGAGTCATAGAGGGACAAAAAGAGCAAACAATCAGCTTGCATGATGTTAGTTGCATAAAATCATGACATGGCATTGGGAGAGCAATGAGAAAGATACACTAACTTGATATGATTTCCATATAACCAACAGAATGTCACCACTGTACAGAGAGCTAATACAACAGAGAGCAAAGCACAACCTATTACATAGACCAGAAGTTAAAAGTAACTAGATGACTGCCTGGACCAACAAGCTAGGTACCCAGTAACAGCACAAGATATCTAGAAGCCATTCATCTCCAGAAGGTAAGTTCGCCTCTTCATCAGCGCCTTCACAGCAAACTTGAATGGTCCATCAAATGCTCCGGAGACAAATGCATCCGTTTCCTTGCGGCTAGTATGACCGCCATTGCTTCCCTCGGGTGAGGGCTTGATAGCGACCAACGTTGCACCTTGCAACGCAATGCCGCCAGGAAGCTCAAGATATGGAGCGTATTTGAGCTTCATGTTGCATGCTGGAACCTGAGTCCTGTTAGAACATGCTGAGGCCGACAACTGGTTCTCCCTAAATTCCTTAAGCTGCTCCGCTCCCATGGACAATGTGCCCTGGCCATCAGCATCGGTCAGTACCAAGCTTGTAAGAGTGGGATGATCCTTGATAATTGACCGAAGAAGATAATGTCTCGTTGATGCCGCAATCAGAGAGCTGATTGTCCACACGACGCGGAGTTTCAACCCTCCATTGGTATAGAAGGATTCCGGCATGCTTCCATTGTCCTCCGAATACAGCTCATGCTCTGCACCAACAGGCTTGCGGTCGACCTGAGTACCCCCAAGAATCACACAATTCTGAAGCGTACTCCCATACTCCGCTCGCCATTTCAGGAGAACTCCCTCCTCAGTCCCCACATCCCCCGAGGGCAGCTCCACCCGCAGATTCCGGATGTGCGTGAAGTTCCGGAGCACCTGCGCCGGCGAGTGCTGCGCGAGCTGCGGGAACAGCGGCCGCCCAGCACCGTTCGGGCCGCGCATGCTGTGGAACGGCTTGATGATCGTGAACAGCATCATCTTGAGGAAATGCGAGAGGATGTTCCTCGGCTTCGGCGAGGACAGGTTAAGCGCGTCCTCAGCTTCGCCGTCGACCGTCACGACGCGGTCGATCTTGACATAGACATCATGGACGAGGGGCACGAGCCCGTAGAACCGCTTCGACACGGCGGAGCACCGGCCGAGCGAGCGCACATCCTCGACATTGTTGAGGATCACCAGCACAAGCGAGTCCGGCAGCCGGTCGAATTGGTCGGCCTCCAGCACCGGGTCGGCATGGATTCGAGCCATTGGAAACCACCCGAAATGGAGAAATGGATCAAACGCCCTCCCCCCCTCCCCCCCGCGCGAGGTTGCAGAGAAATGGAGCACTAATCTTTGCAACAGAAATGCCACGAACAGAAGCTGCTGCTCCTCCTCGACCTTGTCCTCTCCGAATGGCTCACGCAACCATCTGAAACAGAACAAGAATAAGCACACCGGATTAGGCGAAAAAGATGGGAGAGAATTGAATGCCGCGCAGCATGCATAAAAAAAAAGAAAAGAAAAACTCGAAAGAAACTCAAATCAAGAAACCGAGAAGACGACGAATCCAAAGAGAGAACCTACCTCAGACACCGCGCCACCACCAAATCAACCGCGAGGGCCAACCTTTCGCCGCCCACACGCGTCCGGATCCGACGCCGACGAGCAACCGTACGGTACCGAAATCGCGAAATCGGGAGAAGGGTCGCGCCGTTTTCTCACCGGAATCGAGAGTCCCCCCCTCCACGCGCAGCTCCTCTCCGACCAGCCGGAGATGCCGAAAGAGCTTCGATCTTGGAGGCCGGTGGGGGCGAATCGGACGGGATTAGGGTTTAGGGAGAGGGGAATTGGGGATGAGATGTTCTTGTTCTTGCCTCTCCTTTTCTTTCGTTTTCGCGAAGAAGAAGAAGAGAGTTTCCCTGGGCGAAGTGCTTCTCTTTCTTCTCTTTTTTTTTTTTTCTCGTCACACCACTCGACGCGGCTCTCCTTTAATATCGTCTCGCCGCCGTTAAGGTGACGGCCTCCGGCGCCGTCAGTTCCACGTCAGCAGTAGATGCGAACAAGCGTTCAGTAAATTTTTCACTTAACTGCACGTTCACCACCATACATGCAACATCCTACTCTCGGGACCCGAATAAATCACAGAAATAAAAAAACCGAAGAAGCATGAAAAATATAGAATTATGTTAGGAATGCCTCTTTAAAACATATGATTGTAAAACAAAAGAAAACACAAAAAATGACCGTATAAAAGACACATGAATTTTAAGGAGAGACAGAGACTCAAATAAAACTTTTCATGAGGTTTTCCCTCATGTTAAATTTCCTCTAAAAGTTACATGGAATGAGACATATTCTATAAGAATTTTATGGGGTTCATTTATTTGTTTCAAATGGCTATATGGGAAAAAAATCCTATAGAAATACAATTCCTACATATTTCCATTAGGTCTCCGTCTCATACGCTCAGCCCACGAAAAAGCACACCCACATATGAATAATGTTCGTTGATATCAGAATTTGAAATCGAGTCATGTATCCAGGACATCACCGTTACACCACTGATGTTTTATCACTAAATATTTATATATTGTTAGCCTCATCGTTTGTCATATGCTAATCATTTGTCATATGCCGGTTATAACCTGTAATTGCTTATTAAAAAATGTGGGTAAATTTTTTATATATACTATTTAAAAGTTAATGAAAAAAATAAATTATGATAAAATAATATCCAAAATCAACTTAAAACTAAAAATTAAATTTAAAGTTTAAATTTTAATAGCGGTTTATAAGCTAAAAGACGAACTATGGAGTTAGGTATGTTGTTAACAACAAACGAGCAACTAAGATTTCTATTATTTTCCTTAAAAAGTATTATTATTTCACCCTCTTCAGTAACTACTTTTTATTATTTAACCCTGATTTTTCCAGTGTGTGGCTGTGAGCTTTCACCGTTTGAGAGCAGCTTCAGTGCTGGTGTGTTTGGATCCCAGCCATTGAATGCCATAGCTACAGTATTTTCGCCACGCTATAGTGTTTTACGAAACGTCCGCCACACTCCTGTGGCGAGCCACGCCGTGGCGTGGCATTCCAAGCCACCAACCAAGCATCTCTCAACATGATTACTGCGTAATCTGATTTTTGCCAACTAACCGCCACGTCATTGAGATTGAGAACGAAATGTGTACAGATGAGTTAATTTGGATGAAGTGGCAAAAGGAAGGTGACATGGCAGGCAGCATCGGCTTGATTAATCACTATAAAAGGGACATGATGTTCTTAGTTGTTAAGGCAATTAATTTATTCACGTTGGATAAGATAGAACCACCGGTCCATCAATATTGGTCACAAATAGATACGGTATCCTTGATCAGTTTATATCTCAAATAGTTTTTTTTTAACAACTCACACGAAACGGTGCGAAGTTCTATTCATAGAGTAGAAAAAAATACAAGATTACAACCCTAGAAAGTCGTAACCAAAAAAATAAAAAAATTATACCACCACCCACATACTAACTGCGCCAAACACAGACCCAGGAGAAGTCTAGCACCGGACCGGCCACCACTCAGCGTGACCGACCGTCGCTAGGCCAACAATGGAACACATCCGAGATCGCCCAAAAACATGACCCTTACAACCAACGCAAAGCCCGACTCTACCCACATCTTCAGGATTTAGGGAGAGGGGGTGAGAGAGAAGATGGAACACCTCTCCCCCTAGACCCTTCGACATGGCCAACTTGTAGAAACTAGGCCACCTCCACAAGAGAATGAGAATCTAGAGCGTGCTTGCACCAAAAGCTCGGGTGGTTTCGGCAAGGGGATGCCTAGACGACGTCTCCAAGGAGAGGAGCGACGGAACACCGCCGCCGCCGTCCGTCAAGGACTCAAGAGAGCCGATACTAGGCTTTCGCTCAGCAACCGCCCTTGAGGGGTAAGATGGCACTACAACACCCTCAAGAGGGGAAATGACACTCGAGCGTCATCGTTATCGGTCTGGCCAAGGCCGGGCTGGGTTTTCACTGGCCATCCACCACCTACCAATATACCACAGATGCACCATTGCTCCACTGCCAACTAAACCTCCGCCGCCGCGTGGGCACACCGCACCAGTGCCCCCCGCCGGCCAGTCTCCACATGCAGCTACCTCACTGGGCTCCACCTCCATTGGCTTCGCCTCCCGTTGCGCATCCATCGTGCGCCAGCCGTCCTTGACGCCGCCGGCCACACTGCAAGGCTACCGGCCGCAACACTCTACCGGCATTGGCCAGCCACAGCCCCCGGCCCTCGTCGTTGCCCTCTGCCGCAGGCGCGGCCTCCTGCCCCTCCACCGCCGTCACGGCCTCCGCACCTCCATCTCCAGCACCTCCGCGCTGTCGCGCCCGCCGCTGCTAGCCGCACCCTCCGTCACCGACGCCCTGTTAACAGTGAAATTTGGTAAGCCCAAATTTACCATCGGCTTAGAGTCAGTATCGGCTTCAAAGTTTTAGAATCAGCCGATGGGAGTCAAGTCGCCGCGATGTCGTGTTCTTGGTGGAGTCGGATCAATCAAATGAATCTTATCCAGAAGAGACCGAGTTCAAAGAGAATGCACATGGCAAGTTATCTATTAATTATGAATAGTTTGTTAGTTTCCTTTTATCTTTAGAAAAGTGTGTTTAGTGTCCTATAAGGACTTTATCTTTTCCTTCTATCTTTAAGAAAGTTGCTTTCTTGTCTGACAAGGACTTGTATCAACCCATAGGTATAAATATGTACACCCGGGGTCTATGTAATCTATCCTCACGATCAATACAATTCGGTGCATCGCCACCTTTTACCTTTTCTACTTTATTTTATCGACCGGCAGGACTTGGCACCTGACGTGGGGCTACATCGTTGTTCGATCTCCGGCGAAGGGATAAGTCCAATGTTCCGTCGGCCCAGGCAATTGTCTCATCTACATCGGCGTCGTTCAAGGCTGCATCAGTATATTCGACCTCTTGGATTGCTCTGGTTTGGATGATATATTTGCCTACCTATTTATCATATGTCTATGTTAATCTAGTCTTAGCATATCAATTTAGCTCTATCGGCTGCTTCTCGTTTTAGGGTTTCTGCCGGTATCGGCTAAATCGCGTTGCTATATTAGATTAGCTTAGACATCTACCACACTGAAAACTCAATCAACGGCTTGATTGTCTAGATATTATTTTTCTTTTCATACTTAGTGTTGCATCAGTTAAGTTTGATCTACTAAGTCGTGTTTAGAACTATAATCTATAGCCTGCTTCTTGATTGCCAATAAGGGTTTCATCGGGGTTTCAGCCGGTGAGTTATCTGGACGTTGCATCGGCTCATAAGGATTGCATATACATATAAGTTGGATTTAGCCGATGACAACAAAGGTTTCACTGTTTAATCTAATCTTGTGGATTTCATGACATCGGACCTCCAGCCGATGTGTGCTTTAACCTTCAGATCGATGCTTATTTATCATATCATTGCTAGCCGATTGGTTTCTACTGGATTATATTTCTATATTATATCATCATAAGCCAGTTGCCTTTATATCATTATCTACATTGGACATATAGCCGATTGCTTAAACCTTATCGCTATCGGATGGTATCAGCATCGGCTATTATCGGCTATCGGCTGGAACTACTCCGTTGGCTTGTCAGCCGATCTGCTGTTTTGATCTACTATTTGCATATCTTGTTAATTGCAGGATCAAATTGACTGGCACGCCCACATCTCATCAAGATTTTGAACTGCACAGGAGCTAAAAAATCGAACACACTGGCCTGGGAGATCTGCTTAGCTCCTGTGCAGGTCCAAATCTTGATGAGATGCGGACGTGCCAGTCAGTTTGATCCTGCAATTAACAAGATATGCAAATAGTAGATCAAAACATCCGATCGGCTGACATGCCGATGGAGTAGTTCCAGCCGATAGCTACTAATAGCCGATGCCGATACTAGCCGATAGCGATATGGTTTAAGCAATCGGCTATATGTCCAATGTAGATAATGATATAAAGGCAATCGGCTGATGATGATGTAATAAAATAATAATATAATCCAGTATAAACCAATCGGCTAGCATTGATATGATAAAAAAGCACTAATCCGATAGTTAAAGCATACATCGGCTGGAGGTCTGATGTCATGAAATCCACAAGATTAGATTAAACAGTGAAACATTTGTTGTCATCGGCTAAATCCAACTTATATGTATATGCAATCCTTATGAGCCGATGCAACGTCCAGATAACTCACCAGCTGAAACCCTTATTGGCAGTCAAAGAGCAGGCTAGAGATTATGGTTCTAAGCACGACTTGGTATATCAAACTTAACTGATGCAGCACTAAGTATGAAAAGAAACATAATATCTAGACAATCAAGCCATTGACTGAGTTTTCAGGGTGGTAGATGTCTAAGCTAATCTAATCTAGCAACGTGATTTAGCCGATACCGGCAGAAACCCTAAAACGAGAAGCAGCCGATAGAGCTAAATTGATATGCTAAGACTAGATTAACAGAGACATATGATAAATAGGTAGGCAAATATATCATCCAAATCAGAGCAATCCAACAGGTTGAATGCCCTGATGCAGCCTTGAACAACGCCGACGTAGACGATACAATTGCCTGGACCGACGGAACATTGGACTTACCCCTTCGCCGGAGATCGAACACCGATTTAGCCCCGCGTCAGGTGCCAAGTCCCGCCGGTCGATAAAATAAAGTAGAAAAGGTAAAAGGTGGCGATGCGCCGAATTGTATTGATCGTGAGGATAGATTACATAGACCCCGGGTGTACATATTTATACCCATGGGTTGATACAAGTCCTTGTCGGACAAGAAAGAAACTTTCTTAAAGATAGAAGGAAAAGATAAAGTCCTTATAGGACACTAAACACACTTTCCTAAAGATAAAAGAAAACTAACAAACTATTCCTCATTAATAGATAACTTGCC